TAAAAATATTATTTTGAAATGTGTTACGTTTAGTGTATTATTTCATTTTAGCCAACGTTGGACATATAAAGGTTCCATTATGAATTTTCTCGCCTCAGTGTTCTCATATTTTCTATTATTATCAGATATGAAATCGGACCCATTATGTACTCACAAGTCACAATATGTCATTATGTCAACACAATCGTCAGCAATAGAAATGTATTATTCACTCACAATGAAGACAAAAATGATCATATTATGTAATCAAAAATGTATTATATTATCTCAGAACCAAACATGATATACATCTAACCTGTAATTAAAATCCAATTCATTTGGAATTCTTATTTTTATTGAAAACATTTCTTTGTTAATGAAATATGCCCGGATTAAACTGGGCCATTATTAAACTAACATTTCAATTGGTTATTTTATGTGAGTTATGTTCGGCCGATTACATAGTTCAATGACAAAGGAAACATGGAACATATCAAATGCCATATTTTGTTTTCAGAAACATAAAACCTGGAAGCAGACATTTTCTTTTTATCGTACAAAGAAAACTTGGAATTATTTAACATAATTAAAATCGCAAAATTATATCAAAATATGAGGTTGTAATATAAACTTGAGGTCCTGAGAGAAAGTTTATTTTATCTGTTAAACCGAAAATACAATTTTTGCACAAATATACTGTTGAATATACTGTTTTGGTTATTGCTTTGCATTATTTCTAGAATACATCATTGATTACTGAGACTTTTGTACAATTTTTAATAGTTTTTTTTTCAATTTCAAGACGAATGAAATGTAGGTCAGTACGTCCCTGTGCAGTCTTATAGCACCAAAACTATAAGAAACATCATATAGTCACAATTAAATGTTTGTAACAATAGAATTCACAGGAGCTTGAATGATATTTTGATATTATTGATTCTTAAAACTCATTTTTATATGGTGTTAACTTTGTAATTGACATTGCTGTAAATTCTTTATCATGGCATGTGTTTGATAAACACTGGTCTGAGATGCACCATTGTCCGCTTCTAAGAATAGAACTTTGCGTAGGTTTGACAAACAAGTGAATTTATGATGGTTTGATTTTTAAAGCTTGCTTTGATGATTAATTTTGTTATTGACGTTCATAGCTTTTCTGACAGTTTATTACAACAAATTTAAAGTTGATATATTATGATCTAATAATAATCAATATTGAAAACATTGATGACATCATAATTATATGTATCATATTTCATTTCCGAAGACAAATCAAATGAATCAATTGCGAAAAAAATTGTTAATCGAGCATGGCCGACATAAAACAATATAAAATAATCATCGATCATGTGTGACCTGGCAGAATTTAATAACAAGTCTGAACGCACAAACCTGAAAAAGGTCAATAATGTTTTTATAAATGATGCTTTGAACTTTATTATTGACATGAAATGCTAATTAAGCAAATCGTTAATTAATTATGAGAATAATGTGATGGTGATTGATTTTCATATAAAATTGGTTTTCAAGATTATTTTATTGGGCACAGAGTGGACCAATCGAATGTTTTGCGAAAAATTGGCATTCTTATTGTTGTTATGAGTTGGGTTTTAGTTGACTAGTTACCAAGCAGCAGCCTCTAAAAAAATCCAACAGAAAATGATAAAAAAGAAAAAAGGTCAAAATATATTATTTGAGAAAAAAACATTAAATATGTCAAGACGGCCTGATACATCCAGCAGTCACATGTGTTTCAACAAAATAAAAATGACTCCCAGCAATCATTCATGATTCATACTCCACTCAATACAAGTTGACTTACCAATTCACATCCCACCCTTTACTAATGACATGGTACCAAGCCACGAGATCAATTATCATTATTGTTAGCTAGGTCATGTTTATTATTAACCCTGACTGTATTTTGTAATTGTATTCTGTAAACAACATTGGTAATCAATAATATTTTCAATTTTGTATATTTTTCCGAGTGAAGATTGAAGTCAGATATCCACAGACAAGCATATTTCAACTGTGACAAGGAAAGAGACAGCATGCACATTGCACACTATTTATCTCGGTGCTCCTGAACTATGCGTACCAAGATAGCGGACACTGGAAAGTAGTATGTGTACCAGGTTAGGGCATAATTTTATTCCAATATTCTTTATTTTAGTTCTATTACAAGTTCGGAGACTAGCCAAGTGGCTCCCGTGGTATTTGTACCTGAAATTATGGCCTAACCTGGTACACATGCTACATTCCGATGTCCGCCATTTTGGTTCACATACTCCAAGAGTACCTTTTCTTCTTCTTGCATTGTGCATACAAATCCACTGTTGGTCTTGTTTATTTTAATTTTCCCTGTGTGTATGGTTGATATTTAATAATATAAATCATGTAATGGATGATTGGTCTCGAATTTTCATGTAACCGCAACTGGTGATTTAATTCACTTACCTTTACTAATTCTATGTCACCAAGCTACGATACCAATTATCACAAGAATGCTATTGTTAGGTGTTTAGCCATGTCATGTCTATTAATAACCTTGGCGGTGTTGTGTAATTGGAAACAATTGGTAATCAATAATAATGTTCCTGGTTGGTATTAATTAATTGTGTTTGACAAGGAGGCTGTTTTAAAGTAGAATTGACTATTTTTTCACTATATTGATCTCATTTTTCACTATAATCATATTTTTCAAGGTGAGACTGTTTTTATATCTCATATCCAAGCCAGATCTGAATTTTGAGCAACTTTTACGAATTTCAGCTATGTGTGTTTCTCTAGTAAATCTAGTGCATTGGTTCCCAACCTTTCATATTGTGGCCCCTTTCCGGAGGCATTTTGGCACTCATGGCCCCCTGTTTATCATTCCAATGGTATTCACAGTGTTATTTTGATTGGTAAATTCCAAATTCCATTGTGTTCAAACAATTCATTCACACCAAAGTGAAAACACCCTGTGAAATAACCTTATCAAGCAATGAAACTAGGAAGAACGAGGAGTTTTCTTGTGAAAGTAAAATCAATATGGCGTCTAGCATTGTGGCCCCTTTTGCTTATAAGCACCATGGCAGAGTTAATCTAAATTTAAAATAAATTCTATTTCCACACAAATAGGTGCTTGTTCAGGGCTTTATCCAGAGAGATATTTTAAATACTTCATACTTTTGCAACATTAGGTTCCAAATAAAAGCGGAAACCCATTTCCAAACGAACTCTATTTATAAACAAGAGCATGTTTTGTTTACTTTAGGGCCTGTGACGTCAACAGATGACAAGCTATTAATATAACAAGTTACTGTGGAATCTGGCAAGTACTTGTTACGTGTGTTTGTTTAACCAGAGTAAAGGGCCCTTGTGTCAATCATAATGAATGTTACTATTACTACTCATAAAGCTTGCGTAGGGATACCAGCATATATAGGACCTCCAAATCTTCAAAAAGCTGCTTCGAGAAAAGGCAGAAAACATATTTTATATTTTTAAACTGTAGTAACTTTTTATTGATATACTTGGCGAACATTGCTTCAAAATATGATGGGAAAACAGCCCAAAGAGCGTCTATTTCATTGTAATATTTTCAGATAATTTTTTTTTTGACATTTCAGCATTTGCCCTTCTGTTTTAAAAGCTTTGATACCTGTGATTCTCTTCTGTTATGGAATATTTTATTTGTCAAAATTATCATCACATGGAGTCTCACAGTAAATCTTGGATATAATAAATTTGGTGCTCCTATACCTGTGATTCTCTTCTGTTATGGAATATTTTATTTGTCAAAATTATCATCACATGGAGTCTCACAGTAAATCTTGGATATAATTAATTTGGTGCTCCTCCTAAGATGGTGGACTAGTATGTGTACCACAAAAACTATAATTTTATTCCACTTTTCCTTATTTTAGTTCTATTACGAGATCGGGGACTAGTCAAGTGACTCCCGTAGGATTTGTACCTAAAATTATAGCTTAACACCCCAACCTGGTTGGTACACATACTACGTTCTGGTGTCCGCCATCTTGGTTCACATACTTCCAAACCCTTCCAAAAATAAAAATACACTTATTAACACTTAAATACTTTTTATTAAAGTTAACAGTCATTGCATCCGTAATTAGGTGATAATTAACAACACAAGGAAGGTATCATTATGGAGTAATAATATAGTACCTACTATTATTTACAATGACATCATAATCAAGTTTTGTAAGCTCGTGAACTACGCGTCACTTACACTGGCTTTTAAAGATAACAATCTGAAAGGAAATATTAAAAGAATTTCGGGCATGATGTCCTACTTGTCAATACATTGATTGCCATGCAGGCTAGTGAAATTACAGATTTGAAGCCCATATAAACTGACCAAATCAAGGGATTTGAGGGTTGTAGTGACCCTCTCTCTCCTTTGAAATGCAAAAAAAAGTATTTACTTGTATCATACACAGCAGTTTTTTCGCAGTTTGTAACGCTTTTTAGACCCTCAAGACTCTTGAAAACCCACGGACCCCCCACGGACTCTCTGTTTCAAACCCCCCCTCCCCCCTTTTAAAATTCCTGGACACCCCCCTGGGCTAAAGCAAGCTCACCTAGGATGACTTTGAATCCTAATATATAAAATGTGTGGGTTTGCTATACATTAGTGCCACAGCTTTTTCATCAGCTCATGACTATAAAATGAGTCACATGACCTAAATCAACATTCAAGCGCTCTCTTCCCAAATATCATATGAGCAATATAGACAGGGCCTTTGATAAATAAGTGCATTGAGACAGTTATCTGCTATCATTGATGATTACACCGACCAATTTTATCAAACAATATAATTTAAAAAAATATGCATATTCAAGTCGTATTTGTACAATATAATTGGTGTTCGTAAAGTCCTGTTACAATTTTGGGTACTCCTGAAGTATGCGCACCAAGATGTCGCATAACCTGAACCCTAACCTGGCACACAACCTGATTTCAGGTTGTGCGCCATTTTGGTGCGCATACTTCAGGAGGTCCCTATGTTGTTGTGAAGTCAGTTCTCAATATATCTCAACCAGATTTGTTGTTTTCAATCAGTGTTTATTTAGGTTTTTGCTTCATTTAATACAATTGTAGGGGCCCACAGACTATATATGGTATTGATGGACTGCCTTGATTTTCACTTTATTTAATCAACCTTTTTATGTCCAGAATTAGTTGCATAAAGCACATGCAAATCCTTTTATTCCATTCAAAACAAGACTTTGTGAACACCCTGTAACATATTTATGAGGAGGTCATGCCAGATTTATTATACAGAAAAAAAATATAAATTGATCTTTGACCTTTCAAGCATTCATGGTCGTTTGTTCAATGTCAGTATGAAGGTCAAGCACAGGGTTATCGATTCCGACAGTAGAATTAGAATTGGCGCTGGATCTTCGTCGTTGCCGCGCTGTCCGGCGTCGCACACTTTTCGATTTACCGCTGGTTTTGCTTCTGAATAATGCTGACCCAAAAGCAATATATGGTTGCACACATTCTGAAGAAAACCTGAAAATGTAAAGTCAATTTTTTATTTTATACGACGCTATCACAGCATTTTCCCATTATTTTGATGAATATCAAAGCAGGACTTTGGCGTATAATAGAATATAAGAAGTCAGAATATTTATGCCTTTCTAGAAGAAACGATCGCCTGGGGTAATCAAAATCCATTGCATTTGTTTAATTTTGGGGATTACACGTAGATCCATGATTTTACAATTCCTAAAGCCTTTTGTTCCCACAACTCCATTGATTGCCCGCATTTCACTTCACATGGAATTGGATCACTGGGCACCTGGTAATTTATTGGCTCACACGAATGGCACTAATAGTAACATCGGTACTCCTGGAGTATGCGCACCAAGATGTCGCACAACCTGAATTCTAACCTGATACACAAGCTGAGTTTAGGTTGTGCGCCATCTAGGTGCGCATACTTCAGGAGGTCCGATACATCAATATTTAAAGCTTTTCACTTCTTTTATTTTGTACGGCGCTTATCACATCTTTCGCCTCAAACAAGACTCTGTTGGAGCAGTCACTGATATCTAAAGATATGTCGGAGCTACTATTTTTAAAAGGACTAGGTCAGGGTGGTCCAAGCCTGTCGGATTCAGAGTGTAATCAAAAAATCGCATTTGATGTTATTTCGTCAAAAATCAACCAGAAAAAAATCTTTTGACATACTGTTACATCACTAACGTCACTGAATTGACTAGTGTTATGGCATTTTTTCTGTTATGAAGAGTTTGAAATCTTACACATAATGTAGATATAAGAAGACGTTTGCAGGTTTTAGTAAGTTTTTTTGGTGGTTTCTGCATGTTTTAAATTGATAAATGACATTTACTGATAAATGTATTTGCAAAGTAAAAGTTTCTTTTTGTATTGCACTGTTTACCTATTCTTGGCACTATTGTGGCCCGCGAACAATGCAAAAATCATTTTGTGGCCCGCGGAGCCGATAACCTTGGACCACCCTAGACTATTCTTTCGTGGCCCACATTCATTGCATAAAAATTTTGTAGCCCACTAACTTTCTCATGCAAGGAAAAAACTACAAGAAAGACTCTGTTTGCAAAAATAAATAGTTTTACTTTAATAATTAGAATGAAAAGCAGCAGCATCATTCATTACTACTACCATAAAAATTGACTGTAATGGCGCAAATGAAACTATGCTTTTTAATATCCATAGTAATTTTCAATACGCTTGTTACCCACTTGAAAATGTCTCTATGGCCCACTAGTTGAGAACCAGTGGAGAAGTATTTTGATTCAAAAGGATTCCACAATTGTTTTAGAATAGCTGACTGCAGATCAAAAAACAAGGTCCTCATAATGGAAATCGAAATTTGTTGTATTTTCTTAAATATGAGATGAATCTGGAACCAAGCAGGAATGCCTGGTTGGTACCAACTACCATTGATTGCCTGCATTGGGATTTACACAAAGTTAGACCAGCATTCACTCAGTAATTTTGTGACTTACACAAATGGAACATCCATAATTTTACACCCACGCCTAATGTTCTGATCATCAAGATTCCGTCTGCACTCACTTTATAACTTATATCTATCGACCTACCCAAATGGCATTGATAACAGTGTTGTTCCAACGGCGCATCTTTCATCTTCCCCTATTTCTTCACTGAAGGCTTGAATTTCCTGGAAAGCAAGAACTCTGCATAATAAGGAAAGAAAAAAATGCTTCTCGCATTCAGCATACCCAATGGTCAGATAACTTGCCCAAAGCCTAACTCAGTGGTTCTCACCCTTTTATTGCTTGTGCCCCCCTTCCGGAGGATTTGAGCGCTCCTGCCCCCCGTCCCCTGTTTATCATTCCAGTAATATTCATAGTGTTATTTGGAGAGATAAATTCCAAATCCCTTCATGTTCAAACAATACTCAACAACACCCTGTGGTTGAGTAACTTGTAAAGCAATGAAGTTCTTTTAATTTATAACCAAAGTGGAATCAGTTTTGTGTCTGATGCTGTGGACCCCTTCCAACTGTTTTGTTGGGGGCATAGGCCCCGTTGGGAACCACTGGTTTAAATTATCAGATTGTTTTCATCAGGAATTGCTTCGTCATTGAGTCTACAGCAGGGGTCGGCAACCTACGGCCCGCAGGCCGGATGCGGCAATATAATCCGGCCCGCGACGCTTCACTGAATTATAGTAACAAAACAGCTGTTTTGACGATTATATTCTTTACGTTACAGAAGTAGACTAAATTATATTATAACCTAACAAGTATATAATCCACAATCACAATAATTTATAATTACTATTTTAATTATAAATAGACAAATGGAAACAAATGCAGAAAATATGATGCTAAGCGCAAACAAAGGGTTCAACGACGTTAAAAATATCCAATTGGAATTTTCTGAAATGCAATGCAATGAGGAAATAAATATATATTCTATTCGAGAGATTATCTCGAGAGTTTGAGAACCCCCTACAGCACCTTCAAATATGGAACTCTTGCTGTGGCACCCTTGCATCATACAGACACACCAGCACAAAAACAAGGGAGAAATGTATTATTGTATTTTATAAAAACACTAAATCTGGCCCACAATAGGGATTCTTTAGCAAAGATCACTCCAAAGTGTGTGCACCAACATGGCAGACACCAGTTAGGGTTAGGCCATAATTTAATTTCAATTGTCCTTATTTTAGTTCTATTTAGTACCTAAAATTTATGGCCTAACCCTAACCTGGTACACATACAACGTTTCGGTGTGCACCATCTTGGTGCGCATACTTCCGGAGTACCAAATAAAAATGAATATTTTATGTCTTTCTGTATTTCTGCAGAAATGTAATCTTTGATAACACTGATAGAAATTTACCTTTGAAGCCGTATGCTGGTACTCAAAGTCAATACAAGCAAATGGTCTGGCTGCCATTTCCCGGAGTTCTACCTCTCTAATCTAAAACAAAATTTATCAATTTTAAACAGGTTATTGCAAGGTTTATAGAAGTTTTTGAATTTATCGAAAACTTAATAATAGAGAGCTTATGTGAAAGGATAAATAGAATAATAGTTATAGTATAGTTGGGATATTGGTTAGAGTAAGCTTCAACATTCAGATTCATTGCAAACATGGTGGACAAAGGTCACTAGCTGACTTGATCAATGAGAAAAATAGCAACTATATGTGGATTAAGGTGAAATACATAAAGGGGCCTCTAAACGCTAGACTTCACAATGTTGGCATCACAGATCATGCATATCGAAGGACCCTAGCTGAAAACCACTGTGTTGAATGGGCAGACATAATGAAATGTAGAATTCTCAGCTCACTCTTCTCATTTGGCATCTCAGCCATATTGAGTTGACTTTCCAAACAACAATTGCAAGTACAAGAAGTATGATGAAACATCTGTGGAAAAAAAAAGATTAATTTATATTTTATATACAATCCGAGCAATTCAAACCAAGAAATTCGTCCCCTGGAACATTTTCTTCATAACCCCACCCTGATGACATAGAACACGGGTATGCAACCTTTATTAGAGAAGGGCCAGATACAAGTAACTTGGTGAAGCCGTGGGCTACACTTTTATTTGAGATAGCAAAAAATTGTTTGTTTTTGCTAGTGATCTTAGAAGTTCTTGCAGAAATGGTGAGTTACGGGGCATAAATTTCTAAAAAAAATGCTTGCATGTACCAGATTAACTAAACTACAAACACATCTTGCGGACACACGATTCAAAATTGGCACTTCTCTGCGGGATACACAATTCTACTTTGCGGGCTGCATTTGGCCCGCGGGCCGTAGTTTGCACACCCCTGACAAAGAAGACTGCATTTCAACGTCTTGTATGAATACCAGTCCAGGTTGGGTATCAGCATAGGTAGCCGGTAAATTTTCCAAATGCATGTATTTTGATGCATGCATGGGACAAGTTATAGTGGTTGATAAAATAGGTATGTATGTTATAAAGAGAACAGCAGTGGTAAACCCTTCGATTTCTAAGCTCAAGTTACTGTTTGTAAATTTCGAAATTTTAATGAGAATTGAAAAATGTAATTGAATATAATTATGATGGAATTAATATTTAACATTGATTGTGGTGTCAACAGGCAAATTATCATTACATGAATAATAAAGCAAAAAATTGTACAATCTGATGAAGCATTTTATCTCACCCTGTTTTGCGTCCAGTATAATTTCACTATCATAACGTACATGGGTGAGTTGGGGAATTGAAATGTATACTTATCCCTTTTAAAAAGGTAGCTCAATTTAAGAATAGAATTTTTATATCTATCCCAGAGGAGAGGAAATCTCATAAGATGGCTAACTAATATAACAAATCACGACCCCTTGTCCAATTGCATGATCAGATCAAGTAGGGTTACTTTACTAGTTACTTATTGATTTTAATCGGTCTGTCTGTTAGATGCACGCGATATCTCACGAAAGCGAGATTGAATCTGCTCCAGATTTTGCATGTGCATTCATCATATGTCGTACCAGAAGCCTATTGATTTTGGATGAATTATGTCGCATAATTAGCGAGTTATTAATTAATTAGTGATGGGACACAAGGTGTCACTATGGAGTAAGAGCGCTGTTTTGGGGGATCCCCTAACTTTCGATCGATAAGTCTTCGGTCTCTGACCGATATTCTCGTTTATTGATTAGGACATTTGGACTAACACTCCTCTTGTGCACAATCATCTCAGTAATAAGCCATCTAAGAAAATGTTCACCAACTCGTAGCGTATCTGGGGTATGGCAGCCATGGCTCATGCAATGGGAGCCTTTCCAACAGGGATGCAAAAACAGTACTCAATTAACATAATTATGGTATCTCATTTCAATTACAGTCATTATGAATTGTCAGCCAGAGCTTGAAAATATGACCAGTGGCGAATCTAGGGTATGACAGCCATGGTGGTTTAGATTAGGCGGCAAAAAAATGTTTCAATAAAATAATTTCAAATCGAAAATATTTGAAAATCTTATTTCAAATTAAATAAAATCTAACAAGTATCTCAATTCAACAACAGTCTTCAAAAATTGTCAGTCAACGATCGAGAGACGCATTTTCAAACATTGCCAAGGGCACGTTTCACTTATATACGTCATTGAATATCAATAAACGCTCTGGAATATCAATAAACAGAACTAGACTCTCTGAATTATCCCCCTACAAGATTTTGAGCGGTAATCACTGGAACGAGTTTTTTCCTATGAATATTTGAACCAAGGAGTTCTAACGAAACATTGGCAAAATTGCACCGAAACACAAATCTATTTTGCAGCTTTAGAGTCCTTTAAGTTTAGTTTTTTTAACTAGTAGGGCTTTTCTTGTTGAAGGCTCCCTGGTAGAGCCTTTTTTGAAGTAGACTTCATTGTTGAATTAAAATGAAAAATTAAGCAAACTGTCAATTAATGATTTCATAATTGTATATTATTGCTTGAATTATTGCCTCACAATTACTTTGTCATCCACAACGACTTACGTAAAAAATACAGCGAGTAAAAGTCCAATATTGGTGTAAGTTTGCACCAAGGATATCTGAATACATAGATTGTTATTATTCAAATGTAAAAAGGAAAATCTGAATTGGATTGGGGTGGTGACTAGGGCTGGGCATTTTCGAATACCTAATGATTTCCGAATCGAATCGAATATTTTTTTCGAATCCAATCGAATCTCGAATACTTAAGAGGTATATGATGGTATGTAACTTTCCTATTGTATTGGGTCCTACGGACAACTGAATTACTGGAAACGTAAAATACATCAATCAGACAGATTGCTGAGCGTTTACAAACAATAAAATATACATTTTCATCAATAACTCACTACAGAATGAGTCTTATGTCAGATTTGCGTTGAAAAAATGTGGCTTCAATAAAAATAATTGAGAAGTTTACTTCGATCATCGACGATTACTGGAAACGTAAAATACATCAATCAGACAGATTGCTGAGCGTTTACAAACAATAAAATATACATTTTCATCAATAACTCACTACAGAATGAGTCTTATGTCAGATTTGCGTTGAAAAAATGTGGCTTCAATAAAAATAATTGAGAAGTTTACTTCGATCATCGACGGAAAGAAAAAAACAAGATGGCGGCGATTCGAAATTTGCTCTGAACCGATTCGAATACTCGATTCGAAATGCCCAGCCCTAGTAGTGACTGCCAATTTGTATGGCACCCTAACAACAACGATACAGTAAAACGATTCACTTTGCGTTAGAAAATGAAAGCAGTTGGGTTTTATTTTTGCTTATGTTTGATTTGCACTAAAATGGGATTTACAGATTTATCTTGGGGTAGAGAAAAGTCAATAATAAGGTTCAACCATATGGCGGACCGCGGCCTCTCGTTCGGTTACCAGTCTACGTCAGGTATGGGATTAGTTTGTTATTTGTTTCAGATGTATGAACTTGATGTTTGAGGAAGCCGTAATTGACTGCTATTTGAACCACCCTACAATGGAGAGGAGTCTAGCAATTCTCTCGCACATAACTATCTATGCATGAGTTTTAAACGTTCGACCCATGCAGGGTAATCAGATCGCAGGGTAATTAGATGGCACATCGCCGAGCCAGTGCTTTGCAAGATATCATAACAAGCCTCTTTCTACTTTTAGTCAAGGGCTGGGAACCTCGCTTTAAACAAAGTTGTTTAAATGTATAAATAGCAGAAGCAGTAACAAGAAAACAATGCTCAAATACATGGACACTAATGTCAAATTACTACGTCAAAGAGCCTAATACATGTCACATTTCAATTGATAACTAGAACAAACTGAGCCTGCAAAATGAAACACAGCTATGCTGGATAGAATAAAAAATATACTCATGAATTCTCTCAGAAATAAAATAAAACAACTTACATAGAAATGGAAAGGAGTTGTAAATTCCAGATAAACTCTGATACATTTCAAAGGATTCTTTCCAAATGCAAACTGGGATTGACTGAAAAATATTTGCACTGTTGTTCGGTTTGTGTATTCTGCCAAGAAAACTTCAGTATCATTTCCATCTTGGGATGCTGTGAATATAAAGTGGAAATTCATAAAAATAGAACAAAACAGTAACATTTCACCATAGTCATTTCGTAAACAACAAGTTTGAAGCAAATTGAGTTCAGGCCTTGAAAAATCGGTACTCTTGAAGTATGTGAACCAAGATGGCGGACACCGGAATGTAGTATGTGTATCAGGTTATGGTTAGGTCATAATTTCAGTTACAAATACCACGGGAGTCACTTGGCTAGTCCTGAATAGAACTAGAATGAGGAAAATTGGAATAAAATTATGGCCTTACCCTAACCTGGTACACATACTACGTTCCGGTGTCCGCCATCTTGGTTCACATGCTACGAGAGCACTGGCTATCAGGGCATAGACAGGGAATTTTGAAGATAGAGGTAGGGGGGGTGATTTTGAAATTTGTAATTGCCGAGTTATACTTTAATAGCTAGCGGCTACTGTTGAAGACGTGTGCATGGGTTTTCAAGAGTTTTGAGTCATTGATTAAGGCCGGTCCTGCAATGCGAGAGAGATACCGTTCGTTGAGTACTACCAGCTCATCAATAACTCAAAAAGCACTCACTTGAGTAGTTATAAGTGACAACCATATTGAATCTCCTCTTCTCATCAGTGTTGCCAATGTACTCACTCACAACTGACATCAGGAGGTCTGATCTCTGTAAAATATAAATTTTCTCATGAATTGCTAATACTCTTTGCAAGAAACCACTGATACGTAAGGAACTTATATTTTTAGAAGGACTAAAACGAAATTTAAAAATAAAATATGAGTTGTTAGAAGCCTTAAAGAATTTGCTCATTGTCAGGATGACACCAGTGCACCACTCATTCTTATGAGGCACTTTTACTCAGAACATAAACTGATACTAACGGAACTACTTTTTTTGGTAGGATTTTCGGAATGAAGACGAAATTTGAAAACCTAAAATAAAAGTAATTAAAGACCTTTGAGAATTGGTTCATCATTAGGCTGATAGATAACAAGCTTATGTTCCCACAGCTTCCCTTCTCCAGTTAAATTTGTATTCAACATTATATCTTTAAACTTTGCATGTTATTTTTTACCGGATGGAAAAAATAAACTTGACTATGACTTAATGAACCGCTTATATGGTTTGGATTGTTAGGTTTCAGCCAACTCTGCTAAAGATACGTACACTTGAATAATACGGATGATCGTTATGTATTAAAATCATGTATCAAAAATCGATCAGGTGCCTTATAAGCTGGTGCACCTGATGTATGGCTCTGGCAGTGCTTTATGGTCTATTGCTTACATTTGAAACCAGTATTGGTAACAGTTATGTTCTATGTTCCTGAGTGCCTTATTTATGAACAATACCTCCAAATAGACAATTTACTGACGGCGCATGGCGTACGCCTTTTAACACAGTGTACCTGTTTCGTAAAATACGGTAGGTGATATGATCAGACCAACTATACTTACAGTGCGAGGGCAGGTATCAAAATTCATCTGAGTCCAATAAGTCGATTCGAACTTGAACTGATATTTGTACTGGGGCTCGATGCTGTCTGCAAAAATGAAGAGAAATATCTAAAGTTGGTTGTTATAATAAAAAATGTACAACAGTGATAAGTTGTGGTCATTTGCCAGAGTGTTTCCTTATGTAGGGTGGTTCACATAACCTCTGGTCTGTTACGACTTTCTCCACCATCAAGCACACCCAAGCATCTGAAACAAACGATTGGCTAACGTATCCCATACTCGACTTGGGACTGGTTACCGGACGAGAGGCGTGGTTCGCCATATGATTAAGCTGTTAAATCGGCTTCCCACTCTCCCGGGATAAATATTTTAATTTATGTCCTATTCCTGATTCAAATTAAATACCGTCCTTTAGCATTATTGCAGTTGGCAGAGAGTATTTGGGAATAAACTGAACAATAAAAAACACTAAAATACATTTTTACAAATTTGCGACATGTTACAAAACACGTTAACAATATACAGTATAATAAGGGGAAGACAAAATGAATCGAATATGTTAAAAATTCATTAAATTCATAATATTTTTGAATTCAGGAATTATTTGGAACATTTTTATTTAAAAATTTGAGATTGAGCTGCAGACAAGTAACGTAGATTGAAATTTAATCTGGTATGAGTTGGGAAATTTTTTTAGACTCATTCCTAATTCTGAGACTTCTACTAAGAAATAACAAAATTAATGGCCTTTTTAAATTTATTCCTTGACTTTTGGGGGGATTTAAATATGATTCCACAGCGACCATAAAAATGGCAAATTTTCGATTTGACTGCACTTGCATATAACATGCTATAAATTTTATTCCCAGGCTTTCAGAATATGTCCAAGAAAATGTTCATACAGATAATCTACATAAAGCTACTGCACTTACAATAACAGGTTCCATTGAATGGATCACCGGTGACATGGTCTACATATCGGCATCTAAAATTAAAAATACTTTTTATCTCGAAACAGAAAGTACATACCGTAATACTTTCTTACATACAATGTAAAAATATATGTAGAAATTATTTGATACAGGCGGCGATGAGTGCATCATCAAATGAATTTTTTTATGACCATGTTTATGATATCAGCCGTCTTCAATAGAAGCTGCTCAAGTCGAGTCTCAGGTCCTTGGAGTCCGAATTCGGGTAAATCGCTGGGCGCTTCAGAAGTGTGCGTACCAATATGGAGTAACAAATTTTGTTCGCCTACTTTATGTCATTTTGTGTAATGGGACTGAATCCTATGGGCAGTGGGGATATTCACTTGGCTAACACAGACAGTACCCAAACGCATAATAGAACTGAAAATATGGAAAATCGGAATAAAATTATGGCCTAACCTCAACCTTGTACACACACTACAGGAGTATCAATCACTGAGTTAAGTCTCACTGGCAGATAGTGCATTCGAATAATTTCATTCGAATTAGGGTATCAGCACTCAGGCATAGTTTATGATTTTTCCAAGTGATTAAAAAGTCATGCTACAGCATCCTTACATCATAATACAGATCGACCGGTGCAAAGGTTTGTTGCAAAAGTTTCAACTCCTAATTCGATCTGGACCAAGTTTTTTGGTATCCCTGTACCAAGACTATATTCGGCTGCTTTTACTGCGAAATTACCTTTTATTTGGTAAATCTATAGCACTAAAGTACAATGAATATGAATTAGTATTTCATACATCTTCTCTGCTCTACTGTTATAACAAAGATCATAAAAAAATTTATGAAAATGTGTGACTTATAGTACAGCAGCTATTTTCGAAATCAAACAATTCCACATAGCATCAACAACCTCCCTAAATTCAGTACTGGTTTCATATGATACCATATTTCTACAGAAGTGACCCGAAACATGCAAAAAATATTCAATTTGCATATGATTGAGCCTTCAGGTGTCTATGTCAACTTTGGATAAATACTAAATAAAATCTTTGACAATCTGGCACTCACCTTTGGCATTGATCTCCTGTGATTCCATAGGTTCTGCAGAAACAGGTTCCATCGTTTTTGTCACAGTCATCTGCGTGCCCATTGCATTCACAAGCTAAACGGAAAACATTTTTTTTTTTTATACCGAAGATATACAAGAGCATTGCTGGGATAAATATTCGTGTTCGTTTAAAATGTGTTCTTTTCTATTTTTTCTAATTTTACGCACAGACCTATTTTTTTGGAGCTCACATGGCCTTCTATTCCGCGCAACTAAGCAAGCTCTTAGAGGGAATGTTGGTTAGGGCTTCCTTCACTATCAAGTCTATGCATATGAACACAAATAAATGGCTAGCTAATTCAATACCTGACATGGACTGGCAATTAATCGGATGGCCATAGTTCCCCATTTGATTGTCTTATTGGTTTTTCATCTCCCCGGGATAAATACCAGATTACAGATAACTGATATTTTTGTTAGACGCTTGGTTTCATCCATTTTAGTCCGTTGATTTGGGATCTGGCATAAAAGTTCAAATCTCTATTCATTCAACGTCATCATGCATGTGCATTTTGTACTGTTTAATTATTTTTTTGTCCATCGGCATAGGATTCAAACAAAAATTTATTTATTTTATTTTTTCGTTTTGAAAAAGTTTGAGAACTCCTGCTCTAGTGTTCATGTTACCTGTACAGTTTTTCCCATTAGTTGGGTTTCCATAAAACAAAGCATCACAATCTTCACATGTTTCACCATCTGTATTATCTGTACAGTTTGCACAAACTGTTTCATTCTCACAAGTACTGTGGCCATTGCATTGACAATCTGTGACAATTTAAAAGTGTATTGAGTAATTGTATATAATACTTTATGTACAAATTATCGCTTTTCTTGTGATAGTTGCAATATGCTTGTCTGAAGAAGTCTAACCTCGGTCAGACAAAGCGTTACAGAAATGCATTGTGAAGATTCCTCAATTTACTCTCGAGTGAACGAGAATGTATGAACAAACAAAATATCAGCCTTTCATTGACAATAATCTAAATTGTAATAAGTTATACGGAAAATATCTATCAGGAATTTTGTGCCCATTTATGTAACTGCGACCAAGTTGTGCTTTTATTCAGAGTAAGTAAATGCATAACTAGAAAAAAGCAATAACTAGAAAAAAGCAATGTTGGCCGATTGCTCTCATAAACTGTGAAGGATTGTGAATACATGAATAAAAGCAGATTAATGTTTGGCATATTGTGCTAATAACCGTTTTATTGACTTTCTAAACCAATTATCTCAAGTGAGATAAACATAGAAAGTTGGGGCAAAGGCATAATCTAACTTAACCTAGTTGTGCGTTGGTGAAGGATAGCACCAATCTAAGCATTTTACATAGTCCTACCTGGGCAGTCCAAGTAAAACCAATTTCCATTGCAAGTGACATTGTTCAGTGGAGCATAGAGAGAACCACTCATGCATGTCCCAACTCCGGTGTCTTTATCCGTAGCGCACCAACCGCATGCTTTGTTTTCATGGCAATCGTCACAATTATTAAAAGCAGAGCATGGATCTGAAAAATGAGGTTGTCATTTGAAACTAAAATGATTTTTTCACTCTCTTCCCAAGGTTAAGCATTAAAAATGATCAGTACGAAGCAAACATATTTCAACTACTCCATTCTTACACAACAAATACAATAAGAAACATTCAAAAGAGCTACAAATATATAAAACTACCTAAAAAAGAAATCTATGGTTATCTATTTCATACCTTACCATGAAATTTAACTAAAAATAAGGGCCTAAGTTGGCCATACAGTAAGCCAATTTATCTACTTCTTCTTCATTGAATTTGCATGTATATATAAATATGAATCCCATCTAATACCTGCAGACTCACAATTGCTAGCTGCTACAAGATCAAATACTGAACAGGAGTGTTTCGAATTCAGAAATGCTGGTATTCTGGTCATAATTTGTTATTTTTCGCTATTTGTTATTTTTGTTATTTCATCCTCAAAATACTGGTAGCATTTCAGGATTCTGGGGAAAATCTCTAGCGTTGACAAATTATTTTTCTGCGATTGTATGGTAAACTGTAATGTATGACAATTTGTACTAAGCTCTGGAAATCAAAAACACAGCAAACGGTTCATGTAGATCAGTTTTTCCCAACATATGGCTAACCCAAAAGTTTCATTGGGTTGCCTGTTTTTTCAACAAAAACCCAAAATTAACCAATTCTATTTTATAGTAAATTTTGTTGTTAATTTTCTGGCATTGAAGTTTTGCTCAATAGTAATTGTATATGCGGGAATTATCAGAGCGTTAAAACTTGGCAGCATTCATTTTGCTAAATAAAGCCATGCCACGATTTTAAAAACTCGCTGATGGCAAACAAGCGTTCAGTATTTGGGCATATCCTTGGGTTGCAAAGCGGTACCAAATTACTTTTTTTTTTCAATATGGGTTGTTTACAAAAAGGTTGGGAAGCACTCATGTAGATGACCATATCAGGTTGAAAGTGCAATACCTGACTATTTCCAACCATCTGGTGCGGCGGTGTGGCTCAACGGGCTAAGCGTTAGGAATACGCTCGCCACCGCACCTCTAATTACTCTGCGTGGGTTCGCAGGTTCGAATCCCATGCAGGGATGGTTATGTGCGAGAGGATTGCTGGACTCCTCGCCGTCGTTGGGTGGTTCACGTAACCGCTGGTCGGTTACGGCTTCCTCCACCACCAAGTCCATGCTTCCGAAAACAAAACAATACAGTAAAAACTAATCCCATACCCGACTTGGAATGGTAACCGGACGAGAGGCCGTGGTTCGCCATATGGATAAGCCGTCTTATCGACTTTCCTCTCCCCCGGGATAAATATGTAAATCCTATCCTATCCTATCTTATCTGTACACGGGACTAAAAACCTGTAAACTCTCTGTACAAAGATTAAACTGTCTTTCCGCACCCCAAAATTAGTATGAAGAAACCTATAATATAATACCTGTGCATTGTTCTTTTTTGTTCCTGTAATCAGTGCATGAGCTGTAAGAATAGTAAACATCAACAACATCTGTGGAAAGACAGGTGCCCGTAGTTTCGCACCAAACACATCCAGAATAACTCGTGCAATTGAAACATGATAAACTATCTGGACAGGTGGCTGGACATTCGAATGTTGTATTTCCTGAACAAAAATTTTAGGGTTTATTTTATCAGATATTCATCTTTTTTTTTTCAACAGCGTAGCCAGTCAATTTTTAGCAGGGCCATTTTTTTCTATAATTTCTGATATTCAACAATATCTTGAAGAATATTTCTACAGACTCTTTTCGCTGTCGAATTTATCCGAGGTATATGAGCTCATATTTTCATCTCGGTTGGTTCATTTGGTAAAAGGATTATCAATCGCAAGCCTGGAAAAGTCCGGTTTTCAGTAAACTGTTCAAAAATTTGCAAACAGCCAATATACATTTGGGTCAAACTGAAACGTTTCAGATTCGCCATAGTGTGTCGATTCTTTATATCATGTGTGAGGTGCAAAGTTGGGTTAATCAACAGGCTCTTTTGAATTAAATATTTCCAACATGTGTTGCCAGCAATGCTGTGGAGATGATGTCAGATACAATACATTGTATTTCTACATATCTGTGGCCATTGAATCACTTTTCCGTAAAGTTCTCTCTTTCGGGCAAGAGACTGTAATTTTGCTTGAGCAGAGTAATGGGATCCATCTTACTAAAGCTATTAAGGATTTGGAACAATTTTGGGGTTCTATGTTTGTATCTATGAACTGGCATCCTTAATTTGTGAGCATGGAAGGATGTTCAAGTACAATCCAGCAAGTAATATTACAGAGTTTGTAAATATACATTTAATACTTTATTTAATCAAAATTATAAAAGGCAATTGCAATTCACAGCAAGTGTTGAGAATGCCCTTGCCATCGCACCATTTATTACCAGGTCCGAGCGACGTGGGGGATAGTTATGTACAAAAGATCGCTGAACTCTTTGTCACCATGGGTTGGTTCTCCTAACCAGTGACTGGTTATGACTCCCTCCACCATCAAGTCCAAGCATCTGAAACAAATACCTGGTTACCTTATCCCATGGCCAATATTAACTGGTAACCGGACGAGATGCCATGGTTACCCAATATGACTGCCTTGTCTACTTTCCTCTACCCCGGGAAGGGGGTTCACTTGACCCCCAGTCGGTTACGGCATCCCCCATTATGGGGTTCAAGTATTGAAACAAATAACTGATTAACAACACCCATAACCAATATGGACTGGTAACCGGCTGTGAGGCCATGGTTACTCATATGGCTGCCTTATCTCTTTTCCTCTCCCTCGGATTAAATATGGAATTCTTACTGTATATCATACCTGCTTTGCAATTGAATCCATTCCAACCACAGCCATCAGCTTCATTACATTGGTTACATGTAGTAAATGAATCACAGTACTTATCTTGAGTTTCTTCTTCATGGCATGAGGTCACGTCTGAAATCTGAAGAGTAAACGCTTTTAGGAAGAATTTTTTTTATAATACTAGTGGGTTTGAAGTAATTTCAGTAATTTCTATAAAAAACTTATTTAGCAGTCATTGAATATTTCTCGCTCGTTGCCTTGCGTGTCTACTTTAAAAAGAATACAATAACATGTCATATTTGTAACTCAAGTCCATGCTTCTGAAAAAAAAATAACTCGCTAACTAATCCCATAATCGATATAGACTGATAACCGGACGAGAGGCCGTGGTTCACCATATGATTAAGCTGTCTTATCGGCTTTCCTCACCCCCGGAATAAATATGTAAATCTTATCCTATGCTAACTCCGGGGAATGAGATATATTAGCAATTGATTATATGGATCATCAGATCATTAGTATGAACTGATCACAAAAATACTCCACACTACAGATATCTAAATAGGATTGAATTTACATATTTATCCAGAGGGAGAAAAAAGCTGATAGAACGGCTTAATCATATGATGAACCGCGTCCTCTTGCCCGGTTACCATTCCATGTCAGGTATGGGTTTAGTTAGTCAGTTAATTGCTTCAGAAGCATGGACTTGATGGTGGAGAAAACCGTAACCGACCAGTGGTTACAAGAACCACACAACGCTGGCGAGGAGTCCAGCAATCATCTTGCACATAATTATCCCCAATGGGATTCGAACCTGTGAACACATGTGCAGTAATCAGCATAACATTCGAAGCGCGAACCCACGTAGGGTAATCAGAGGTGCGGTGGCAAACGTATTCATGACACTTAGCATGATGCGGCACCCACCGGAGCCATGTACGAAATGACCACAAAAATACTTGAGATTCCAGATCCCTCACTAAATTTAAACCTGTAAGGCTGTTCACTGTTTCGCTAGTATTATAAATCATAGACTGTGGTGGCCATATTAGTGATTATTTTACTTTTGTGTTCATGTATCTGAGTATTGCTAACCTGTTCAATGGTACAATGGCCAGCGCAATTTTATGCTGGTAACATTTGACAAGCGAAAATGTACATTATAACAGTGGTTTCCGACCTTTTTGTCAAGCGACCCAAATGGAGTACTTGTTAACAGCACATTAAATGATTAATATAAACAATCATTTTTATATAACATTTATTCCCCCCCCCCCAATTTTTAGGTTGTTGTTAAAAATACAAGAGACCCAAGAAATTTTCAGGCAACTTATAAGTTGGGGAACACGGCATTACAACACCAGTACTCACCAGTACTCACCAAGTCATAGCTTTGAATTCTTGAATCCCGACTTTCGAACGTGGAGGAGCATTTCTTCGGACAGTTTTGATGGCAGTAGATACATTTACAACACTGGAAGGCAGTAGAGAGACAATCCATACATGTATCCTTTGAACTGCAGATGCTTTCACATTCTGACTCTATCATGAAACATATTAAATATTCTCAGAAAAGATAATAGAAGAAAATAATTACGGTAAGCAAGCTGGGCATACTGGACATAAACTGGTGACTAAACGAGATGTCATGGTATGCCATTTGATTAAGCCATCTTATAGATGTTCTCTCCCCCAATATAAATCTGAAAGCTATCATAAATAGGTTCGTGCAACCGCCTACCTTGATATAGTGATGGTAGCTAAAGGAGATTGAATATTAATTATCCTAAGTGATTTAAGAGTCTTGCTGCACACTAACACAAATATATATATGTTTATGTTAGTGTGCAGCAAGACTCTTAAATCACTTAGGATTGTTATCTCTACTCTTGCTACAGCATCCTTGCAATATATGCATACGGATCCACCAGCACAGAGTCTCGCAGAAACCAAATAATCAGCGAATATTAATTAGTTGGGATTGGTATAAAGCTACTATCCTGTTATTACCCATGTAGGATAGGATTTATCTCAGAGGAAAGAAAAACAGATCAAACGACTAAATCCTATTTCGAGTCACAACTTCTCGTTCGTTACCAGTCCATGTAGAGTATGGGATTAGTTAGCCAGCTATTCGTTTTGGATGCCTGGACTGGATGGTGAACGAAGCCATAACTGACCAGCGGATATGTGGAACACCCTGCAGCAGCAAGGAGTCCAGCAATCCTTCCACACAAAATTAAACCTCATATCCACGCAGGGTAATCAAAAATGTGGGTGCGAGTCATACTACACCTGGGACTTGTTTCCGAGAGCAATAATTTTGCCTCACGATCAAAACATCTTTGTAACACTGTAAGCAGCAACAAATAAGCACAGGAAAACCAGAAACGCTGTTTTCACTTACCGGTAGTTGTGAAAAGGAAATTTCGAAAAAAATAGGAAAAAATAGCTTTTCTTTCTGAATATCAAAAATAAAATTTAAGACGTTTGTCTTACCACTGATCCCACAGCTGAACTCTTCACAAGTTCCGTTGTTCCAAACACAATATGGAGAATCGTCACAATCTGACTGCAAAGTTGTGATGTCGCAAGTCCCTCTGCTTGGAATGGAAGCTGAATAAAAAAGGTTGCACTGTTATTTTGTATCGTGCATTAAAAGAACAAGTCTTTAAATAACACACTGTACAACAGCGTTTCCAACCGGGGCGCCATTCAGAAGGCCACAGAGCACTCCAAAAAGGGCCACAATACTAGGTGAAAAACTGATTTTACTTCTCACTACAGTTTCATTGCTTGATAGGGTTATTTCACATGGTCCTCTCAGTTTGTTAAGCATAAATTATTTAAACACAATTAGATTTGAAATCTACCAGTTAAAATAATAATATAAATACCACTGGAATGATAAACATGGGGGCCATGCCTCTGGAACGGGGCAACAAGCCATAAAAGGTTGAGAACCTCTGCTGTACCAATTTTGATTAGCTTTCCTAAGTATCCTAACCTGCTGTGCGTGTATGGCACAGCTAATGTTCACATAAGATGACATTAAAATATTGTAAAGTCAAGCAAAGCGCCCTTCTCCGTAAGCCAAAGTAAGTAAATAGTGCAAAAATACAGATAATAGTAAAGAATTAACGTACAGGAGAAATCAAACAATTGCTTTTATATTGAGTACAAAATGCCAAGCGGGTGAGTTCCTGGTTCTTCTAGTGGCTACTCCTAAAGCAGGGGTGTGCGCCTGCATATAATGTGCAAAAAGAGCCACATACACCTCAAATTCACCCATCCAAATTATTATCCAAAGTATGAAGATTAACAAAATAAAAACAGATCTCTGACGTATGCAAACCTACGAACGGTCTAATGAATCAGCACAAGCAGCATCGATCCTGATTTCAAACAAGCTTTTAAACGCATGGAGTAGGCTACATCAATCCCATCAATTATTGTGCCACTTGGTACAATAGATGTTTGCTGTACATTAGCCGTCCATTACATTAGCCAAGATCATGCTTCCAAAAACAAATAACTAACTAATCCCATACCCGACATGGTATGGTAACCGGACGAGAGGCCGTGGTTCACCATATGGATAAGCCGTCTTATTGGCTTTCTTCTCCCTCTGGATAAATATGCAAATCCTATCCCTATCCTATCCGTTACACTAGTTTTTTGCAAATAAACTGTTTTTATTCATAGTTTCATATTGAGCCTACAGCCCAGTCTGTTATCTTGATCCGGCCCACTCAGTAAAGTAATTGCCCACCCCTGTTCTAAAGAGTCTTGTTTGGAGTGAAAAGTGCAGTATACAAAGAATCATATTTGTGGTTTCTGTTCATTTTGTGCACTATAACATGTCACTTCATGTTGATTGATCGAGGGAATAAATTCTTATCTTGTGAGCTTCCAGCAGATGTATAGAGGTCAGGCTTAAATCGGTAAGTTAAATCTGTTTTGATCTATCTGTGTGGGGATCGGACAGTACAATATTGTTAATACATAGGATAGATAAAATTCACCACAACTTACATGCTGAATAAGTTAATACATCTGAAAACATTCTTCCACTGTTTCCCCCAAAAACAAACATTGTTCTGTAAAACAAAATGTGAAAAATATGAGCAACAGCTTTTTCAGAGATTTTTTCATTTTTGAGTACTGAGAATTTATAGATACTGTATATCCTCACATATAAGTCAAGTTTGCATTAGTTTTCTTCCGCAACCATTTGCTGTGATAGATGCACAAGGCATGTTACGTTTTGTTAGGTAGATGAATTTTATAAATTCACTGTTTTGGGGGGTCGACTTATATGCGAGGATATATGCAGTTGATAGTTAAAAGCTAAAATCTATGTTTTTCTTAAAAACAACATAAGAACAGTGACCCCTTATTCAACGAAACGATCCATGTCTTGTCAATTTTAGAAACTTAAGTTGAAATAGCTTCAAAACTAAAATGGTAGTAGAATTCTCTCAGAGTTGTGAGTTGAAGTCGTTAAAACTTGATAGCAGGACCACGATTACTTGGCTTCTCGCCATCAAAGGGTGGTTTATATAACCGCTGATCAATTACGGCTTGCTCCACCTCTTCAATACTATGTACTTTAAACAAACAACTGGCTAACTATCCCATACCTAAACATGGACTGGTGACCAGATGAGAAGCCGCGTTTTCATATGATGAAGCCGTCTAACCCAGTGCTCCGCAACCTTTTAAACTTGCGGCACACTTATAAATCTTGTCAAATTCGACGGCACATCACAAAAATCGAAAAAAACAAAGTTTAAATTTGTTTTATGTTCATATTTCAATGAGAGATTTGTGGTTGTTTTAATGAGCACAATACGTGAAAGAGCAACTCGAAGTTCGCCGTCAACATCTTTTATACAGGATCGTTAATCATTTTTGATCAGTATTAAAGAGGAAAAGCTTTGTTCGCACATATAAGTAGTGCAAAATTGGAGCAATATTTCAATAGCTGTATTGGAAATGTGCTTATATTTTTCTTTTATTGAAATCCAAAACACATCAAGTGGAATTTCGCTGAATTTCAGTCTTAGCGTTCTGTCATTTCTTACTTCAAAGAAATCTTCTCGAATACGCAGGGATAATTCTTTCGTTAAGCGAAGCTCAAGTTTTATTCATATTCGATTACTACACGACTACACGTGCTCGACAATAGGCCTTACAATAGGCCTTTCGTCTCGACAATAGGCTTTACAATATATCTGCTTAACATATAAACCTATTCCTTGTTACGTCACAAATGCACAGAGGGGGAGTCAGGAATTTGAATTGGTGTCGCTCAAGCTAACGTAAAAGCAGGTTAACTTTACGTTAGTAGAGTAGATTAGTAGCCTAGCGTAAAATTAACAAAGGAGAAAAAAAAAAATTGTAAAAAGAAGAGAAAAGTTGCAATTCTTGTGCGGCACACTGGTGCGCCGCGGCACACCGGTTGCGGAGCACTGGTCTAACCGACTTTCCAATACCTGACATGGATTTGTAACGAGACAAAAGCTCGTGGTTTGCCATATAGATAACCCAGTCCTATTGACTTTCTTCCCCCTTCGGATAAAATAAAATCATTTCAAATATATCTCAACATAACAAAGACATACTTGTCTAGTTTCACACCAAGATGTCCAAATCTGTTTCCTGTTGTAGACAGCTGTGTTGGGATTTCTTTCCAATTATCGGTGGCTGAGAAGAAATGTAAGTAAGTTAGTAGTTACAAGTAACTGTAAGCATTTTGATGAAATCATTTTGGTGCTGCTATAGCGCTAAGTAGATCTCATGCCATGGCAATAGCTTGAAGTGGACTCAATTCATAGTGTGACCGACTTTACACTATAGTAGTACCCTGAGATATATCTCATGCTATAGTGTGGCTCACTGCATTTAGATGACATCTGGTGCCACTAAAGTAGCTCCGAATTTTCCCAATTTTTTCGTTATTCTGGTAGCATGTATTCATAGTTTAAATACTTTCAATAACTAGTATGGAATAATGTTATGGAATTTGAATTTTCATGGATGTCAGTAACTTCATTCGGAGATCAATATCTTTTACTTCTTGAGTGGAAGTGTGACCCTTTGTGAACAAATTTTTCTAATATCTGGTCAAGTCCAAGCAGTCAAGACTTTGATTTCTTACAATGTGCTTTCAGGCCTTACACGTACCAATGCACAGCCTTAAGGTTCAAATTTTACAGTAATGTCATCCTATTTTTATGGTAACCTCAAAAAACAATAACAGCAGCTGAACAAAATTGTCAAACTGTGAAATTTCTACACCCACCTAGGTCATAAGCTTCAAATGGAACATCCTCACAATACTGGAGTAAATAAACAGCCCGACCTCCGTAGACGAACAGAGTGCCGTTAATCAAAACTATTGAATGAAGAAATCGCTGTGGAGTTGTTGACTTAAGAGATGACCTGATGAAGAGAGTTTTCATATTTATTGTGGACGAGAGGAAAGCTGATAAGGTGCCTTAATTATTTGGCAATCCACGACTTCTCGTTTAGTTGGCTCGGCGGTGTGGCCCATCGTGCTAAGCGTTAGGAATACGCTCGCCACCGCATGTCTGATTACCCTTTGTGGGATCGCAGGTTCGAATCCCATGCGGAGATGATCATGTGCGAGAGGATTGCTGGACTCTCGCCGCCGTAGGGTGGTTCACGTAACCGCTGGTCGGTTACGGCTTCCTCCACCATCAAGTCCATGCTTCTGAAAAAAATAACTGGCTAACTAATCCCATACCTGACCTGGACTGGTAACTGGACAAGAGGCCGTGGTTCGCCATATGATTAAGCCGTGGTATCGGCTTTTCTCTCCCCCTGGATAAACATGTAAATCCTATCCTAGTTCCAGTGGATATGTGAATCACCATACGACGATGAGATGTCCAGCAATTTATTTTGCACATAATTATTTCCCATGAGACTCGAACCTGTGAACCCACACAGGGTGATCAGAGGGGTGATGGTGCGCATATTCCTAATATTTAGCACATCACCCCCGGCCATGGTTTGCCATATGATCGGCCAAATTATCAGCATCTTTCCCCAGAATCAATGAGAAGAATCTATTTTTATCTTGAAAACAAAACATCGGTGTAAAATCTGTTATCAATGGAGGTTTCAGTTGAAATGGCGACCTATCCTTTCCAATATATTCCTGCTGGCATGCATTTATCACTATTTATATGAATATTTACGAACCAATGCTTATTCTCTGCGTCATACACAAGCATAGATCCTTTTTCTGCAGCATTGATTCCGCCATGAACATAAATCAAATTGTCCGTTTCATCCAAAACTGATGCATGTCCGTATGAGCCGTGTGGAATCGCTCCTGAAGTTTTGAGCTTGGTCCAAGCATTGTTGACTGAAAGATAAATTATGAGATGGTTAATATCAGGATTTTATAGTCTCAGAAGGCCATGGAGCTGTTCTGTGGACAAAGGCCTCCACTAGGCAGGCTACAATAGACTTTAGTCATTAGAAACCCAACTCATATGAATTGTTGACAATAATAATAAAAATCATAACACAAAAAAAAATATTAAAATAGTATATTAATATTAAGTATAGAAAACTGGATACTGGAATTGTGTAGTTCAGAGTAATTCCATTGGCTTATAGTAAATTGTACAGTTTTAGTCATGGTTTTTCAAACTGGGCCCTCAATTACCGAAGAGGGCCACTGAACTAGGGGTTCTCTGGGAACTATTAACCCTCTACTGTACACAAAATATCTCAAAGTCAAATTTTTTTTTTAGAAATTTTTGAACATTTTTTTTTGGAGGAGTGTGTTTTAAAGATATATTGCCGAATAGAACTCTAGCACACGCTTTTAAAAAGCCATAAGTGAAGCTTTAGGGCTTAATGGTTGACAAAAAAGATAATTTCAAAAATACTCATGCAAAATGGGTAGTGGTTCGCGTGCCGAGAAGGTTAACATTCATTCTTTGACTGCAACACATTCATTCTCGGACTTTTCATTAGTAAATGTGGCAAATAAAATAACTAATCAAAACATGTTAAAAACAAAATTAGGTATTTTTATAGAAAAGTAGCATAAGTGTTGAGAGAGTCATAAGAGTCTTTGGGAGGAGGTTACAGATTATGAAAGTTTGAGAAGAACTGGACAATTGGTCAACTAGTTAGAGAGAGAGAGAGAGATTTATTATTATTTAGCAACCAAAAACAAACAGTCATCAATACGAAAAAAATATATAACACAAATAAAATTGCTTTGGTATTGACGGGAGGGAGCGATACGACCATGAGATCATTAGATATCTCGGTTCAAACCATTATAGTACACCCAATATTTATTCCTATACTAAATTTAATCAACTAATTGGCTTAGTGAATACAAAGGTGTAAGTATAAATGGATAATCGTGTTTAACAATATTGCTGGACTCCCAGCCATAGTGTTATTGGTTAATGTAACCACTGGTCGGTTGCAGCTTCCTTCTTAAAATTCTATCCAATGGTCACTCTATTAAAACCAAACTCACCTATATCATACTCAAACACAAAATTACTGAATTCCCATGTAGGATGGTAACCAAAGATTACAAGCATAACATTGCGCATGTCTTTTAGCTCAACCATGTGTGCAGTGTGGCCCACTAATGTGGGAGGATCTGACCCTCGAGTGCAGTTTTCTAAACAAGGATGGATTTGATCCCAAGTTTGAGTTGTTATATTGAAAGACCACACTTGGTTGGTTATTGAATAGCTTTCACGGATGATACCGCCATAAACGATCAGAGAGTCCTGAAAATGTAAAAATGAAAGGATTGACATAGAAAAAAATTCTGGGAAATGGTTAACCTGATTAATACCTGACATTGGCCTTTAACCTGACAAGAGGTTGTGATTTTCCATACAACTAAGCCATCTTATTGGCTTTCTAATTCAGATTAAATTGAAAAATCCCTAAATTCTCGCCATTCTTCAACACATAAGAAGCAAATAAAAATTTGATATAACATCAAAGATTTCATTCGTTGTTCAAAAACTTGTTCAGATATAAGATGTAAGCTTTAGAAACACACTCGAATCATTGCTAAACGTCAGTTAGCGAGTTCAGGTTCGAAAGATTATTCGGATTATTGGACTTGAGACACCCATAGAGTGGTTCACATAACTGCTCGTCATTCATGGCTTCCTCCACCATCAAGTCCATGCATCTGAAACAAATAACTGGCTAACTAATCCTATACCCGACATGGAATGGTAACCGGACAAGACGCTGCAGTTCGTCATATGATTGAGTGTCTTAGTGGCTTTCCTCTGCCTCCAGATAAATATGTAAATCCTATCTTATCCTGACTGGTAATCGGACAAGTCATGCCATTCGAATAAGTCGTTTTATCAACTTTTCTTTTGCATGGAATAAATATGAAAATCCTATTGTTACCTTCCAACTTATCATAGTGTGCCCAAATCTTGCAGCAGGAACGAAGCTAGGACGGATTGCAGAGACTGAATACTTGATTTGGTCAAACCTGCAAATAGAAAATAATAATAAAGTTGACAAAAATCGGATTCGATAATAAAATTTTGACCAATTTTAGTCAAATTCTGAGTTTGCCGCTAGTAAAATCATTGAAGCATGAGCAGTCAGAATAATCTAATTTTGAATTAAAAGAACCAATGCTGCCATTACTAGCTTTCTTATTGTATCTAGCTTGCTAGGTTGAAGTCATATTGTATTGAAGAGCAGAATTATTTCCACCATGATGAAGAGCCCTACTTTGTACTTCATATTTTGTATTTACAAAGTGAAGCAAATTCATTTGTCAATAGCTAAGTATAATAAACCTGCAATTTGTGAACTGAATGGTTCCAATAAAATTCATGAGCATTCATCCATGCCCAAGAAATGTTACATTTTTTTAAATCAAAAACAAATGATACACCACAGTTCAGAGTTCACTGAAAATATAACTTGCAAACATGAGGGTGTGTGCTTAGGACCCCAAAGATCTCAAGTTTAACCCCTATGACCCCCATCTCATCTATGGTGTAAAAAATGATGTGTTGCTGAACCAAAAGAATTCCAGTTCTTCTAAGGATAATTGGAAGATTATCATAATTATAGTGGTTTCTTATACAGACCCTGTATAGAAGTGGAAATAAGAAAAAGGCCAAAAAATTATAGGGTCTCATGTAGTTTCGTACCTAACGTACTTCTAGGAGACGTAGCATAACAATTTTTCCACGTATCAATCCTAACCCCCACCTGACCACACCATCCGAAAATTATGTCACTACAACGACACAGTGACGTAATAGAGCCCTTCAAACTATGCGAACTGTCATCCAAGACGCGGAGACGAGAACCCAAAATCGAACAGCCATTTCCCTCGTTTTCTCGTCGCAATGATCCCGATAGGAGAGAGATCGCTGACGTTAGTCAGTTCTTTATCGTCGACGCCGATGCCATTTCGGGCGATCGTTAAGGTATTTGGCAAGGTCTATGGCGTGATTGTAACGTCGTAGTGACGTCATTTTTGGATGGCGTAGTCAGGTGAGGATTAGGATTGGCATGTCAAAAAATTGTTATGCTATGCCTACTAGAAGTACGTTAGGTACGAAACTACACGAGACCCGAAATTACATACCTCAGCATTTGGTCTTGTAATTTTTCCCCTCCGAACATAAATCCACCGTAAATATAAATATATCTGTCATTCAAAGCGAAACTCATTGACCCACGACCTTGAGAGGTCAACGCAGTCCATTCATATGACCTCCAGTCACCAATATGCGTATTTAAATTCGGACCTGCAATAGTGAAAGCAATTATTAGTGCTATATCAGTAATCAGTAGTCCTTATACGTATACATAAACACTGTACATATATGCATTGGCTCAATCGTGTAGCGCAGCCGTTCCCAACCTATGGGTCGCGACCCTCTGGTGGGTCGCAAAAATGATCTTAGTGGGTCGTGAAAAGATGTAGAAAGCTTGGATTAATTATACTGGTTATTAGGATCGATGGCGACACGAATACGTAAATCTTCAATAAAACAAAAGAAATTAAATTGAATTCTAATCTGTGAAAGTTTCCTTTTTATGATCTTCTCAATAGAACAAAAATTTGATACACAAAGAATGACCATGTGGCTTATTTACGCATAGCAGTTTTGTACACTGTACAGCACTTCTTACCGTGTTTCCTCAAAATTTAGACAGGAATTAGATTTATTTTCTTTTGAAGAATAACACTATGGTTTTTTTGGAAGTTTGGGAACCACTGGTGTAGCGCATTGTGCTGGGCATTAGGAATACAATCACCAATTTATTGAAACCATATTTTTTCGGCGCAATTTCAACATATAACTTGTTCTCCTAGTTAGTTATTGCTGAAACATGTTTTTCATTGTGTTTGAACGCTCAGCGAACTAATTGTGTAATGGATTTTATGTTTTCAGTAATTTATGTGTCTGGAGAATCCATTACAATGAAAAAGTCACATTATTCGATTCGGAAAAAAATATTCGATTCCTTTCTGAAATCATCAGGTATTCGAAAATGCCCAGAACTATCATGGCCGCTATTTCATGTAGATGCACCACTGATTGTAATAATAAAAAAAGATGGTGCTCCCGAAGTACGTGCACCAAGATGTCGCACAACCTGAACATGGTATGTGTACCAGATTAGGGTTATCAGGTTGTGCACCATCTTGGTGCACATATGTCTCTGAGCGTCAAAAATAGCCTGATAATACTCTCTAACTAGGCCTTAAGCTTGAGAAAATATAAACTTACTTTTTTCACCGATTAGCTCATAGTCATCATCATAATCTGCATATCTGAAAAAATTATGGTGGTTTATCTTAATAAATGTTTTTTTGCTGTAGTGAAGATAATAACCCCTGAAACCAGTTTGAAATGAATTTTCTATATATTTTTTTTTTACGATTTCTATTTGAATAATGAGGTCCTGAGTAAAAAAATATATCAAAAATTGTGGTGAGGACTTTAATTCCCTTGCACATAATTTTTCTCTAAGCGATTCATATCTGCGAACATGAACATGGTAATCAGAAGTACGATGGCAAGCATGTTCCCAACGCTCAACACAGTGTGAAATGTTCCATGCCATGAGATGAATAAGCTAATCCTTATGTTTTATTTCAAAATATGAACACGCATGTCATTGCACATCCAAGTAAACTGCATGGGTTTAGGATAGGATAAGATTTACATATTCATCCCGGGGGAGATGAAAGCCGATAAGACCACTTAATCATATGGCGAACCACGGCCTCTCGTCCGGTTACCAGTCCAGGTCGGGTATGAGATTAGTTACCGGTATTTGTTTTCGGAAGCATGGACTTGATGGTGGAGGAAGCCGTAACCGACCAGCGGTTACGTGAACCACCCTACGGCAGCGAGGAGTCCAGCAATCCTCCCGCACATGATCATCCACGCATGGGATTCGAACCTGCGATCCCACGAAGGGTAATCAGAGATGCGGTTACAATCCCGAAAGGGATAATTATGTTCAAGAGAATTGCTGGAGTCCTCACTGCATTAAGGTATTTAACATAGCTGCTGGTCGGTTACGACTTCCTCCACTATCAAGTTCATGCTCCTGAAATCAAATAACTGGCTAACTAATCCCATGAACTGGAAACCGGACAACAGGGAATGGTTGGTCGTATTATTAAACTGTGTAATTAATTTTCCTCTATCTAGCAAAAATATGAAATCCTATTTTAACTTGGAATTACTTTTGAGAAGTCAATTCAATAACTCACTCATAGGTGATCACATATCCCTTGTTACTCATTACTTGTGGGCTATCGAACTTTATCAACGCCATTCCAGAGGAAGCAATTAAGTTTGGTGAAAAGACTGTCTTAGATGGTGACACTGTTCCCCTGAAAAACAATGAATAAATTTGAATGAAGAATCTTGGACAGATATAAAAACAGTATACTATATACTTGCACGTAAGTCACACTTTTTTCTAACTCAAGTCAGTAGTTCATTTCGAAATATTTGTTACACAACACAGCGAAATAAAAACTTTACCAAAATTCAAATCACAAAAAAATTTGAGAGGTGAGAAACAAACACTGATCTCTGAGTAAAGTTAGGATAGGATAGGATTTACATATTTATCCCGGGGAGAGGAAAGCCGATAAGACGGCTTATCCATATGGCGAACCACGGCCTCTCGTCCGGTTACCATTCCATGTCGGGTATGGGATTAGTTTTACTGTATTATTTGTTTTCGGAAGCATGGACTTGGTGGTGGAGGAAGCCGTAACCGACCCAACGACGGCGAGGAGTCCAGCAATCCTCTCGCACATAACCATCTCTGCATGGGATTCGAACCTGCGAACCCACGCAGAGTAATTAGAGGTGCGGTGGCGAGCGTATTCCTAACGCTTAACCCGTTGAGCCACATCGCCGCGCCGCGCGTTTTGGGCAACCACCAAAGTACTAAGAGCTGCCAAGACTTTAAAGCTGTGGTTCCCAACTTGGAGGCCATGCCATTGCAAGGGGGCCACAGAGCAGCTGGAGATAGTCATAGTCAATTTTATTTTTTCCAACCAGCAGAAAAATATCATACAAAATCAAAAAATAAACTAAATTTAACACACATTTTTACTGGGGAAGGGAAGCCGCGGGGAACCAAATTTGGTTATCGAGCAGCGACACCCAAGATTCTCCATCTAATTTAATTTGGAAGCTCGGAAGTTAAGTTTTAAGAAAAAAATGTACAGGTTTGAAAATCCCATCCTACCGGATAACTCGTAGGGTATTCCCTGATTAACCTGGTAGACAGAGGTCTGAAATGCTGATACGTGTAAGCGGCTAGAGATAGCCTGATTGCGAACACTCAGTAATAAATAGTTTATATATAACTATAGTTTAAATAGGCACATGCAAATAGCAATGAATTATAAATAGGCCATATTACAGGGTGAAAAGCACGCGGGAAATCGGTGGTGGTTATCGAGCAGCGGCACCTATAAAATAACTCTGACACTATATTACAAAGAAGAAAAAGTCGAATCAAGTATAAGTAAATTAAAAAAGAAAGGAGAGGACCAAAATGCTGGGCGCAAAACTGATTTCCTTTTCCCCAAGATAGATTCCAGTTCTTCTAATACGTTATATATAGATCTTTACACATATCAGTTAATGCTTGTACAAAGCTTTGTTCAGACATTCAAAAATGTAGAAAAAGCATTTGTCTAGAGCAGTGGTTCTCAAACTTTTTAATCCGCGCCCTCTTTTTAGGATTTGTCAAGTCTAGCGCCCTCTATAAAAGTAACTAGCTAACAATAAGCTACAAACGAGAATATCGGTCAGAGACTGAAGACTTATCGATCGAAAGTTAGGGAATCCCCCAAAACAGCGCTCTTATTCCATAGTGACACCTTGTGCCCCATTACCAATTATTTAATAACTCGCTAATTATACGACATAATTTGCCCAAAATCAATAGTCTTTTGGTCCGATATATGATGAATGCACATGCAAAATCTGGAGCAGATTCAATCTCGCTTTCATGAGATATCGCATGCATCTAACAGACATACACACAGACAGACAAACACCTATCAACATACTTACCGATTAAAATCGATAAGTAATAACAGATAGTAAGGCGAAAGTATGTTTCATTCAAAAGACACGTTGAAAATATGTGTACATAATAAAGAAATGTGAATATCGAAAATGAGACGGGCAATATCAAATCTAACAAATTTATTTATTTTTTTTCTTTATGCCCCCTCAAAAAAAAAATTCTATGTCCTTCTTTTGGGTCATTTCTTGGTTTTTTTTGTTTGGGAATCACTGGTTTAGACTCAACATCCCTTGTTATCTCAATACTCACTTATAAGCTGCTAGCAGTGGTGAAGCCAGACTGTCCCCATCATATATTTCCATCGATAGTCCGTAACAGGATACAGCCACATCAGCAAATGTAAGATACAGTGTTTGGTTGGGCTCCATAAGCCTAAAATAATAAATGAATGCTTGCAAGTGGGTGAAGGTAATTTTACATAATTTTATTCCAATTTTCCTTATTTTAGTTCTAGTTCCGCGACTAGCGAAGTGACTCCCGTAGTATTTGTACCTGAAATTCTGGCCTAACCCTAACCTGGTACACATACTACGTTCCGGTGTCCGCCATCTTGGTGCACATATTACGGGAGCACCAACCAATGGCACTTAACTAGTACAACTCACATAGGGTGAATTTTGATCAGTCACAAACAATTCACATACCTCACATAACTAATAAAACCCAAATCAGATAGAGTTTGATTTGCACATACAGCATTTACAAATGTCACATAAATTTAGAAATATCACATAAGCAAAGTCACATGACTAACACAATTCGCATTAGATACAGTTTGATGATCTCCATACTATTCACAAACCCCACATAAGGATAGGATTTACGTATTTATCCAGGGGGAGAGAAAAACCGATAAGATGGTTTAATCATATGGCAAACCACGGCCAATCATCTGGTTACCAGTCCAGGTCTGGTATGGGATTAGTTAGCCAGTTATATGTTTTCGGATGCATGGACTTGATGGTGGAGGAAGCCGTAACTAAAACAGCTCACATAATACAGAGTTTGATTCGTACATACAGCATTTGAAAATTTCACATAGACATAGTCACATAACTAATACAACTCACATAGGGTAAATTTTAAACAGCCACATACATTTCACAAATCTCACAGAGGTAATACAACTCACATAGGATGTAATTTGATTTGCACATAGAGCACTACAAATATCACATAACCTTACCACATCAATAATACAACTCACATAGAATCGAGCTTGATCATTCACATACAATTCACAAATCTCACATAAGTAACACACATAAATTTGCAAATGTAACATAAACAATGTCACATTACTCACATAACTAATCGACACACATAAGGATCCAAATTGTTCAACTATATTAGTAAACTTCAAAAGTCACATAAGTCACATAAATTCAAAAGTCACATAAGTGAAACAACTCACATAGGGTCAAGCTTGATCAGCCACAAACAATTCACAAATCTCACAAAAACGAAGTCACCATCTGATACACATCCCTTCTTGGTGTCCAACCTAGAAAAAAAAGAAGATTAAATTGACGGATTACTTTTTATCATGAAACATTCCCCATCTCCACCCCGAAGAAAGCTTTAGACAAGCATGCACTGGGTAGGATTGCTCTTACATATTTATCCCGGGGAAAGGAAAGCCGCCGATAAGACGACTTAATCATTTGGTGAACCAAGACCTCTTGTACCAGTTCATGTCAGGTATGCAATTACCGGTAGTTAGCCAGTTATTACTTATCGATCTTAAGATCGGTAAGTATGTTAATCGGTATTTGTCTGTTTGTTTGTATGCTTGTCTGTCTGTTAGATACACGCGATATCTCACGAAAGCGAGGTTGAATCTGCTCCAAATTTTGCATGTGCATTCATCATAGCTCGGACCAGAAGCCTATTGATTTTGGATGAATTATGTCGTATAATTAGCGAGTTTTTAACTAATTAGTGATGGGACACACAGTGTCACTATAGAGTCAGGGTGGTGAATGGGGGATCCCCTAACTTTCAATCGATTTGATTATTATGTATGAGCGTGATGGTGGGAGAAATCGTGACTGACCAGCGGTTACGTGAACCCCACTACAGCGGGGAGGAGTCCAGCAATCCTCTCGCAAATAATTATCCACCACAGAATCCAAATCTGCGAACCCAGGCAGGACATAGCTCTCCAAATCGTTGAGCTGTCTAATTGAATCTCATCTATTGGAATAAATATGTGAATCCTATCCTATATTGCTCTTATCATATCAGTGGTTGCCTAAAACTCATTTATTAGTAAATTCCTTTGAATAAACAAAACTCACAAGAATCTTCCTTGACAATGTTGGCATTCAGGCCCAGTCCAGCCTTCATCACACACACAGTCTTTGTCTATCTCTTCACCGTGGAAACATTCAGTTTTCTGCAAAAAAGTGTATCATATAGTTCGGGGCTATGGAGTCTGAGCAGAAGTCGTATTTTTGAATACTCTAAAGCAGGGATGCGCAAATTTTGGCACACAAGCCGGTTCCGACCCGCCGAAGTGTTTCATCCGGCTTACTTGTGCCTGTAGAAATTGTGACTATAGTTTTTTATGGATATAAATTTGAGTTTAAAATTTTGCTGAAAATAATAACATCGTCGGCTAAAACATAGAACGCAATTTCCCAAGTATTATCTGCATCTGAATATAATTGTGCCACTTGGAACATTAGCTATTATGCTAGTTATTTGTAAAACAACTGTTTGTTATCATATTGAGTCTCTGGCCCCGTAACCAAGTCTATTATCTGTGACTGCAAGGGAGTAATCGCCCACCTCTGCTATAGAGTCAGAAATGAGGACTTTCAATGGTGATGGAAAATGCAAGTTTAAATTTTCTGCAGAAAAATTAGGTTTACTGTACTATCTGTCTTAACAGTCTAATGAGGAATTTTTTCTCAAATGATTAATATTGCCACTACAATAACTTCAATTTGGGGTCAAATATCGGGCCAATTTGGGGTGGAATATCGGGCTGATTTGGGGTAAAATATCAGGACGATTTGGGTAAAATATCGGGCTAATTTGGGGTAAAATATCGGGCCAATTTGGGGTGGAATATTGGGATAATTTGGGGTAAAATATTGGGACAATTCGGGGTGGAATACTGGGACAATTTGAGGGAAAATATTGGGCAAATTTGGAGTAAAATACAGGGCCAATTTGAGGTGGAATATTGGGATAATTTGGGGTAAAATATTGGGCCAATTCGGGGTGGAATATTGGGACAATTTGGGGGAAAATATCGATGTATGTAGCAAGGGGTCCCTTTTTCAAGTTTCAGAAATTTGAAATTGACTTTCCTGTGCCCCAAAAATATTTATGTAAATCGGATTCCAGAAATAATCCTGTCTCCACAAATAACACCAGGTCATCAAAATCTGCTTGTACAAGCCTTGGTCAGAGTGAATGCATGGGAAGCGTAATATAGGAAAAAATAAATAAATGGACAAAAGGATGAACTGACCTTAGTTCCTGAGCATGCAGTTGTTTGTAGCGATGGTGATATTGCTGAGATGGCAATAAGAATGAGAAGCAAACTCGCCATTTGTTGCATATTTTTGTTCAAAACTCAAAGATAAATAAACTTAATAACTGAATATAATAACATAAATGTTAAATCATATTCAGTTTAACAATTATATTTGAAGACATGCCTGCAGTTTCATCTGTTACTTCCTGCATGATTATTGGACAAAAATTTTTATCTGATTTTTCAAGAACAAAAATTATGTGGATACCTCACAGCTGTTTTCTCAATTGTATTGACATAACTACGTTAGTCAGCAATTACTAATGCATGATTCTTCACTAAAATTCCTCAAAGTGTCAGTTGCTCTTGGCACTTTGGGCAACTTCGCTTAAAAGGCAATTTCCTTTGCTTCTTATTTTGGTAAGAGACGAGTCTCTTTTTCTTCTGAGTGAGTGCATGTAACTTTGCTCAGTGATGAGTCTCATTTACTTTTGAGTGAGTGCTCGCAACTTTTATCAGTGACGAGTCTCCTTTACTTCTTAATGGGTTCCCATAACTTTACTCAATGATTAGTCCCTTTTACCTCTGAGTGAGTACCCATAACTTTGGTCAGAGATGAGTCTCTTTTACTTCTAAGTGAGTGCCTGTGACTTTGTTCAGAGAAGAGTTTCATTAACTTTTGAGTGAGTGCCCATAACTTTGCTCAGAGATGAGTCTCTTTTTTCTGAGTGAGTGGTCATAATTTGGCTCAGAGATGAGTCTCTTTTACTTCGGAGTGAGTGCCTGTAACTCAACTCAGAGATGAGTCTCTTTCATTTCTGAGTGTGTGAGTGATGAGTCTTCTTTACTTCTAAATGAGCCCCTGTAACTTTGCTCAAAGATGAGTCTCTTTTACCTCTGAGTGAGTGCCTGTAGCTTTGTTCAAAGATGAGTCTCTTTTACCTTTGAGGGAGTGCCTGTAATTTTGCTCAAAGATAAGTCTTTGTTTCTTCTTCGTGAGGTCACATAACTTTGCTCAAAGATGAGGCTTCTTTACTTTGAAGTGAGTGCAACATTGCCCAGAGATGTCCCCTTCACTTCTGAGTGAGTGCATGTAACTTTGCTCAGGACAAAACTATTACCATCATGGACAAAACCCCTAAATAACTTGATTTAAATGTCATAGGCCAGTGGTACCCACCATTTTTTTCTAAAATTCCTCCATCTGCCTAGTTTGGAAATCCTCATCCCTCCCTCACCAAGTATACAAAAGTAGTCTTTGCTTGCTTTGTACTTGAGTGGTCAACTAACTGCCATTGAGACCTAACACTTGACTATTATCGAGAGATGCTTTTCATGGGTATTTTTGCTTACTGGTGATTCAAATAATACAAATATTATTCGTAAAGGCGATACAAGCACAGGCAAGATTTAAAAGATCTTTTGTAAAAAGACCCCCCCCCCAAATTTTTTTTATTATTTATCCAGTTGGGGTTAGGAATTAAGATAGTGCTAAAAATTCAAATCATTCCAAACCTAAAGCCAAATTAGATAATTTCTGAGTTGTTATTTTAAAAGGTGGCCAGAGTGTTCCAAAATTAGTTATCTCCCCACAATTTGCTGCTTATACAAAGCCTTGTTTGGGATGAAGATGTGATCTTCATCCCTGTTATGTTGGATCTATTTATAGATGTTATCTAGTCTTATAAACTCACTTCCACAAACGGTTTTGTATACTCCTCTGATCATCCTCTGTCATCTGATTAAGCCGTCTTATCGGCTTCCCTCGTCCCCGGGATAAATATGTAAATCATGCCATACGCGATGGTCGGTCACGTTTTTACCATTCACCTTCCCTCCCGTTATAAATATGAATTTTCTACCAGTTGTTATCTTAGTAGGAATTATATCAGTCACCGCACTATTTAAAACATCTCAAATCTTACGATCAATTACTCCTATGTTCGAGACAATGGCGGGGATCTAGTCCAGAATTTTTAAAGTGAAGGAGGGGGGGGGGGAGCTCTTAAATTTCTAATGGCCAAGTTAGACTGTAACAGCTATATATCGAATCCGACCGAGGGCCGGAAACGTGGATCTTCAATATTTTTGAGGGCCTTAAAAGCGTTTCAAGCCACGAAAAATTGCTATGTAATTCTCCCTGGGTCACGGTACGTCAAATATTCTACCGATCGGCTTTCTCTCACCGTCATTGTCATTCTCTCATGTCATTTTTAACCTTCGTTATCCCAGTAGAAAAACATATAAGCACCCCCGCTAAAGTTTCTATTATATTTTCTTGTTCAAACTAAAATTCTAACCACCTCCATACTGCCAGATATCTAGCCTCACTGTCATTCGAATTCGCTGTTATGAAAAGTATAATTCATTCGCTGTTATCAAATGCCTATTTACTCAGTATCGAGGAACGATTTACCTATACATATACAACCATGTATGACCAAAGATGAGTATTATTATTATTACTCGATTTATGCAGTGTTCAATTTCGAGAAATAGGATAATTTATGATTGTATATTCGCGGTTTTATAATCGCGTTTGCGTACAAGTCTTCCAAACATGGCCCGTACAAAATCATGCTTCAAATGTTGCTTTAAAGATGGCTCACGATTGGTAGGTGCATAATATTCTAGAATTAATGATTGACAGAGTCATGCGATGAAGTGTAAACACAACACGAGAATCGTCTGTTTGAGGAGTGGCTGTCGTCCTGCTCGTAAATTCTCTGACGTCATTCTGTTTTTCATTTATAAATTATCGGCTGTTTCCCTTAATTATCATGTGGCCCATTTTTAGCGTCAGAAAAATCTTGGGCCCACAAAACTTTCATTATATCTGAGGAAGAAAGTCGACTTTTCGTCATTTTGTAAGTTTTCATATTTATTATTAACGTAATTATCATAAAAGAGAGAGAGAGCTATGCTCAAATATATGGACATGTCACAAGGTGCCGCTATTTTTTATTTTGACACACAAAAAAAGAATCTCTTGAAGTCCACAGAAATCTTTGAAATAAGTAAAACTAATAGCCTTCTGGCGAAAAAAAATCAATCTTCAACTACTGATAATTTCAAAGCAATTAGTCCATTCGAAGAAAAAAGGCGATTTTGCAATGATAAAGAAAATGAACAACAACATAATATTGAAACGATCGTTATGTCCACTGACGTGTCCAATAACATGTTGTATTATTCGGCGAATAGCTAGAAAAAAAAAATATGAAGCACTCCTGTAAGCTTTAGAAATAATAAACCACCGCTTGTGGCTTTCTTTGATATGCCAAAAATATTTTGTGTTATCAGCAATGGTATATTTACTACGAAACATTCTAGGGCCTCGAACAATCCCTGTGCAATTATAAAATGTTTATTCATATTCATGGTTATTTATATAAAAATAATTTTTTCGATAAAATTTTTGAATATCACAGAAATATTTTTTTTTTAATTTTTTTTATTTACAAGGTGGAGTTAAGAACTGAGTCTATGCGGTATGCGATTGAGATCACGTTGATGAATGTGTCGCATACAAAAGGATAAGGGATAGCCTAACACTATCCAACACGACGCGCCAGACGTTGAGATATATCGTGAGAGAGCTGTGGAATTTGGGAAGTTGGTTATAAGCCCGACTGACAAAAGATTTTGCTCACTTCCGCAATAGAGTTTAAAAAGTACCGCACATTTTTTTTCACGCATTCTCCACACGTCGCCCTTATTGTTAAAGATCGCACGTATTCGAGTCTGTGTGGACAATTATAACGAAATCTCCTATGACCTATATGTTCAAAAACATTGCTGTATTGACCGTTGTTCTTCGTGACAATATTCTAAACAATTTCTAATTGTTTAAAATTGGATTTTATGGCTCCCTGAAGGCGATATTGCTGTGTTGATGGAATTTGCGCTACCCGTGCTATGTGAATCGTTCAATATTATTGGACACAAAGTAGATCGTCGTGCTATCATGTTGTTGTTGTTCTTGCTGGTATTTTTTCACCAGGTTGTCATGAAATTCACTCACCTAATAATGAACTCATCGCTTCAAAATTTTAGTGGTTTTTTAGGGAACATTTATATTTTTTGCTATTATTTCTGTATTGCTGTTGTTTCTGATCTGATCTTATGAAGAAGACATACTCCTGGTACCGAATACATATATTGCAATTGTATATTTACAAATACAAAGAACAGTTCCAAGTCATGACTGATAAGTCACATAAAATCAAAGTTTCACTGCAAGCCCGAGTTCGTTAATTACTTGTCCATCGTTATCCTTTTTTTTTTTTCTCCTAACGATTGGTCGCTTTTATGCTGGTTTTGGTATCCTTAGGGCATGACGCGTTATCGTCATCGTACCTTACAGGACGTCTAATTGTTACGTATTTTATGACTGAGAGATTGCTTCTAATTTTAAGATTAGTATGACTTTAAGTCTAAACACGTAACTTAACCAAAAGCAGCGAAATTACCCAATATCCTATAGTTTAAGCCTTTAAGGTTGTATTTTTCGCTAGAGGGCTGTTGCTTTTATTCGTTCCTAATTTTCCTATGAATGCTACGAGATCTTATACTTCATTCAAAATTTTGCCATTCTTTCATAGGTACACGGTTTTCAATCCGACGCTACGCGAAACTCAGAGATCAATTAATACCGGAACGGTGCAAAAAATACTTTGTTTTAGACTTCTTATATATATAATTGTTAATCGTTTGATATTCTCTTTTATATGCGTTTTCGATCACATCTTTTCTCTGAACAAGGCTTTTTCCTATCAGAGTCACGGGTATTTTTACAGTTTTTCGTGTGAACAGAATCTAATACAAATTTCTGGACCTCCGGAAGTATGCGCACCAAGATGGCGCACAACCTGAACAAAGTATGTGTGTACCAGTTAAGATTCAGGTTGTGCGACATCTTAGTGCGCATTCGATCCGCAATTCTACTGTGGTGTGGCGCATTGTGTTAAGCGTTGTATTATTGATTACCTTGCTCCCGAAGAATATGAAACAAGATGGCGGACACCGGAACGTAGTATGTGTACCAGGTTAGGGTTAGGCCATAATTTCAGGTACAAATACTACGGGAGTCACTTGGCTTGTGAACTCGTAATAGAACTAAAATAAGGAAAATTGGAATAAAATTGTGGCCTAACCCTAACCTGGTACACATACTACGCTCCGTAGTCGCCATTTTGGTTCACATACTTCGGGAGTACCCGCCTTTCTACACCACCAAGTGCATGCATCATCCGAAACAAATAACTGACTAAGTGGTTCTCAACCTGTGGTACGCGGGAGCTTTTCAAGTGGCACGCGAGCAGATTTGAATTATTGCAGCAATTAACCTTTCAGTTGGCTAAATAATGCCGGCAACGCTTTATCTTCCTTACTGTATGTATTCGCTGAGCGTTTATGGATGTTTTTCAGTTTTCTTGTTTTTTTTCCATAACTATAACCCAGCGTTTCCCAACCTTTTTTGGTCGCGGACTAATTTCTCACCGGCGAAAACCTTTGCGGACTCAAGGTGCGTTTATCGCAACCGTACTCTGTGTAAAGAAGCAATAAAACCAAACACAACGAAATTTGAACGAATTTAAAAAACGGAAAATCGCCGCAATTACGCGTCCGTTAAAAGAGCCGACTTTTTTAGTGTATAATGGGCCTTTTCTGTCGCACAATATTCAATCCATGACAACGACGAGAATTTAAAATGTCTTTCTATTTCAATTGTGTTCATGGTAACTCGCGGCTGCGTCGACCTACGACAAGATGATAGCATTACTTCTTTAAATGCCCGATTATATTTAGTTTTGATACATATTTATAGAAATCTTGCAAATTTGTTATCGTCGTTAGAAAAATCCTACTATCTGCTATAAATGTCCAGAAAGTACAACTTGATTTAGTACTTATTAAAAATATATTTAAAGTATATATATATTATTAAATCAAAAATACATATTCACCACCTTGCAATGCCTGAAGAAGCGTTTTTAATCGGTCGCGTACAATCATAAAACAAAAGTTATGGTGTTCTCCGTTTTATTTTTAGTATTTTGTATTGCCACTTTTCAATTTAGAAAATTTGGGTTGCCACCATGACACCTACTAAGAAAAAAATTTATTCCTCGTTGTTCGAACCCGCGAGAAACACCACGTGTGTGCTCGTGTTTTCGTCGGAAATTCGCAAGTGGGTTGTGAAATCCAATCGTTTTGAGCTGTCGCGTCACCTGTTACCAAATTTTCGAATAGTGAATTGCTATTCTAATAGTTGAATATTCGAATATATGACCGGCCCTACTCAGTAACTAGTAATAATTGACTTGATTAATGTTATGTGAATAAACTTGCTTTTTATGTTTTATGTGAATTTTAACGTAAATCGTAACTTGGCTGATAGTTAACTTTCGCAAAAACGTTTGCGGCTGCAGTGAATTTCTGTCTCGTTGCGGACTCATTCAAACACTTCGCGGACTCATTTGAGACCGCGGACTCGGGTTGGGAAACACTGCTATAACCAATCAGCAATAAGTCAATAATGACGCAATAGGTAACAATTGCAATTTCTGCAACCAGACGCTCAGACACTTCTGTCGCCCAAACAGATATTCAAGCATGGTTGCAAACATTGCCTCGTTTTTGTTGTTTTGAGTGATATTTGTCAGTTTTCAGTTGTGTTTCAAGAAAATAATCAATTGTCATTATGTCTTCTGCGGAGCTTCAATTTAGTTGCAGTAATTAAAAATGAATCTTGCAAATGCTGCGATGGACAAGGCTAAACTTAGCTATGTACCTGCAAACGATTGATTAATTTCAAAACAAATGATGGTTTCAAACACGTAAAGCAGTTTATATGCGCCAACACATCAAAACACTCTCAGAATAAGTCTAAAGTTTGCAATAGTAAAGTATAAGGATAATTTTTCCGGGGTCGATGGTCGGGGAAACGTCCATAGCGCTGGTGCGCTACCAGTCCTTGTCTTTAGAGATCGTCCTCGCCCGCTATTGCCCACCTTAAATGAAGAGATATGGGCATGTTTTTGTCCGTTTTGCGTGTTACGCCACAAGGGATGTAGTGCCACATTATAAAATACTCCCATAGCACGTTTCTTGTGTCTTTTTCCTCACGCCAAAAAAGAGGCTTTGTCGGTGGTACGCGGCCAGAGTAAAAAACAGTAAAGTGGTACGCGGTCTGTAAAAGGTTGAGAACCACTGGTAGCTAAATCCTGTACTTCACTATCTAAGCCCATTGTCGAATTTTTAATCTAATTCTTTGTGAAACTATTCCGTGTCTCATTTTTATTTATGACCATTCCTTTATTTGTGTTTGTGAAATGGACTTCAAATCAGCGTTAGGAATACGCTCGCCACCGCACCTCTAATTACTCTGCGTGGGCTCGCAGGTTCGAATCCCATGCAGGGATGGTTATGTGCGAGAGGATTGCTGGACTCCTCGCCGTCGTCGGGTGGTTCACGTAACCGCTGGTCGGTTACGGCTTCCTCCACCACCAAGTCCATGCTCCCTAAAACAAACAATATAACTAATCCCATACCCGACTTGGAATGGTAACCGGACGAAAGGCCGTGGTTCGCCATATGGATAAGCCGTCTTATCGGCTTTCCCCTCCCCCGGGATAAATATGTAAATCCTAATCCTAATCCTAATCCTAAATGTCTCGAGCAAAACAATTTGAATAAATTGTATTACGATTCCTACAATTTATCAGGAGTCGAATCGGAAATGATTTACGCTTGAGTTGACACACAACCTTTGACCCCAAAGTCACGGTGGCGTTACGCCAAAAGTAAATAACAGATTGTTGACCAGCTGTTGCACAAGCGACTGCATATTAGAGATGTCGGGGATTTAAAGAAATATTTTTCAGTTTCAGTTGGATTTTAGGGAAACTGACAATTGGAAATGGCGTCGAGCAGCCGTGTCTCAAAAGAAGAAGATGAGTTAATGGGGAAATATAGGTAAATATCCGATTTCTCTTAGACTTCAAAGCTTGTTTTTCTTGGGGATAGGATTATTTATCCTGCTGGAGATGAAAGACAATAAGATGGCTCAATCATATGGCGAACCATGGTCTCTTATCTGGTTACCACTTCATGTCGGGTTTGGAATTAGCTAATTCTGTAATTCATATGACAGAATTATTTAATTTAGTTTATTTCGATTTTCAGTTAAAGAGTTACAATAAAAAGAGGAGCAATACCCAAATATAGGGGACAATAAAAAATACACTTTCACTGTGTGAAATGAATGGCTGTATATTTTTTGTCTATTCAATTAGGACGTTTTGACTTCTCGTCTCATTCCAAAGAACTGAATTTAGGTCACATTGTGTTGTGGCCATAGTAGTTTCAGGACAACATGGCAAATGTTATACTCTGAAAAAGAGATTAAAAAATATTATAAATAAATAGGTGCTCTTCAAGCTATTCCATTGTTTGAAGCAATATTTAGATAAAAAGCTACAAAAGTTTAAAAATCCAAATGTGAGTTTTCCTCATTTTCTTATATCAGGTTTTTGAGGCTTCGTGCTTTTGGTCTAAAGTTCTCGTGATTAAACTTTTGAGATATATTTAATTGAGCAATTCTTTCTTGCTTCAGTAACATTGATGAATATGGTTTCATTCGAGGCAAGGATTTTGATTACAAATCGTACGAAAACTTCTTCTCTGAGTACACTACAGTCCTCGCTAAACGAGCAGCGAGATGGAATTGGCTACTTGACGATGGGGCAAAAACTAAAATAAAGACAGACTTCAGAGGTAATAATTTTTTTCAAGTAAGTACTCATGAATGAATAAAGATATTGTATGCAATCACAGGTCTCGGTGGTCAAATAAATAATTCCTTTTTAGTTGTTGATTGCCATGGGTTTAGCCGTGCGTGTGAGAAATCGAAGGATGCGTGTTCTCTAGAATTAGTCAGTTTGTACTGTTAGAAATTGTACTGTTTATTGTTGGCTGTTTCATTCCACTACTGGTGGACCAACCTTCATTTTCATTTGCGTGCCACAATTTCACTTGTTCTAAATTTGTTCTTTTTGTCTTTTCAGTGAAACGGTTTTGTCGAAAAGGAATTCCCATGCAGTTCAGGAAAATGGTGAGATATTTTTATTTTTGGCGTGTCTGACACCTTCAGCTAATACAAGGTCTCTGCAAGATGCCACTGTTATGTAAATATTGGAGGTGGTAGAACTTTATTAGCTGGCTTCATCGGACAAACTATTTTGTCAGTACATGTTGAAGATCTCGGGTTCGAATCCCATATCCACCACCTCACCCAGGGATTAATAAATGGGGTAAGAAATGCCAAACGGGAAAGATTTATAATTCCGGTACTGCCAACAATCAGTAGCTACCTATACAGAGACTAATCCTGAGGTAAAGCGATAGATATTATGGAAAATTTTACAGATTTCGAGCTAACCCAGTGTTTCCCGACTTTTTTCAGTTCGGTAATTTTATTGCCATTTCTCAGTTCAAAGCTCACTTTTATTGCCATTTTTTTCTGCGCGACCCACAATGAGATGTTAATAGTTTGAGAGAAAAAAACGATGTTTCCCCACATAATTTACTATTAATGCGAAACTTGATTTTGCATATTATCAGGCCAAGTCTGATAACGATGCATGATTCTAATTGTTACATTGTTACTTATCGATTTTAATCGGTAAGTATGTTGATAGGTATTTGTCTGTATGTCTGTCTGTCTGTTAGATGCACGCGATATCTCACGAAAGCGAGATTGAATCTGCTCAAGATTTTGCATGTTCATTCATCATATCTCGGACCAGAAGCCTATTGATTTTGGGCGAATTATGTTGTATAATTAGCGAGTTATTAATTAATTAGTAATGAGGCACAAGGTGTCACTATGGAGTAAGAGCGCTGTTTTCGGGGATCCCCTAACTTTCGGTCGATAAGTCTTCGGTCTCTGATCGATATTCTCGTTTCATAATTGTTACATAATGATAATGATAATGGCATTTTCCCGGTCTTATCGAAAACTGTAGTCACCCACTGGTTAGGAAGCACTGTGCTATCCTACAAACAAGTAAATTACCCATTATTTCCCCTTTTCACAGGTATGGATGAATATCAGCGGAGCTCAGAAACGTTTGGATAAGAATACAGGACTTTATAGAAGGCTTGTCAATGATTATCAAAGTAGGTTGAGATTATTGAAGTTACTGTTCCGTTTATTTATACAGTATATTGTTTTGACCGACATGATTGATTTAGTCAGCAGCGCGACTGTCTCTGCTCTAATATTCAATATGTATCCAGTGTGTATTTAGGTATATTCTTGAGATAGAGCCTATTTTATAGTTACAAACAATGTTTTTTCTCATTTAGTCTGATATTTGTTAGTTATATTTATGGCGACTTATGTCTTTGTATCATACTGCACTCGGTTGGCAATACTCGACTCGTAACCGTTCTGAAATTCAAACCTACTGTCTATGCCATTGTTTTCAAATGGTGAGGCGCACCCAACAAGGGGAGAAATTTTTGAGACTCGTAACTTGTTTTGAGGAGAAGTGAAGCCAATTAAAAATAAAAATCTTTGTTAGATTTGATCTTGGCCTATTTTGGATATTTACATTCCTTTATTTTGGATATTTAACGTGTTTTTTGAATAAACACACTTTCGCCTTATTGTCTCTTATTTGTATCTTATTGTTAGCTACTTATTTTTGAGGTATGACGCGAGACTTTGAGAACTGGTCTATGCGCATGCAGCTTGATAGTCCTCTATACGGAGAGGGTCATACAAATGACGATGGGGAGCAGTTGTCCACTATCGAACATCCTCTCTAAGCGGCTGTACCAATTATTTTTCCAGCTTCAGCATCAGATGAGAGCCTGCTAGACGCTATACAGACGGACATAGATCGCACGTTTCCAGATAACGTCCACTATCGGTCTGGAGAAACTGCTAAGAAAGGAAAACGACCTGAGCTCGACAGAGTCTTGACTGGTGTTGGAAGATATAAAAAGGAAATTGGATATTGTCAGGTATGGTGGAATGATATTCGTAACTGTCACTTCACAATACTTGATTCCCAACCTTTTATGAATTGGGACTCCCTTCCGGAAGTTTTTAGCACTGTTTACCCCTGTTTATCATTCCAGTGGCATTTATAGTGTTATTTTTATTGGTAGATGCCGAGTCCCATTAGGTTCATGTAACTCATGCTCAACAAAGTGAAAACACCCTGTGAAAACACTTATCAAGCAAAGAACGGAGAATTTTCTTGTAAAAGGGAAAAGTGAGATCAGTTTTGTACATAGCATTGTGGCCTCCCTCCCACCGCTCCGTGGCCCCCTAGTGGGGCAATGAGCTCCCAGTAGAGAACCCCTGGTCTGGAGTATTTCATCATGTTTATGTACTATTACAATACTCACATGCAATGTTCCCTTTAATTTTTTGTAGTATGTGTGCGCAGAAATTTTAGTGTGTGCGCACTTTTTTGGAAATGACTAATATTTGTGCAAAAACCAATGAAGAAATTTTGGCGTTCTAACAGGGTAATAAGTGGGCCAACAACAAACTTTCTCAACCTGCCAACCGAGCACATTGTTACATTACATTGAAATACGTCTGTGCGCAGTAAGTCTATGCGTGTGCGCGGCCTCTGAAAGCTCACACGCGCACACCTTAGAGGGAACACTGCTCACATGCGATATCACAATCTTAAAGCCTAATTACAGGGTATCTCATCTCATTCACATAAATTTATGCGATATGAAACACATAACATGTAGAAGCCAACCCTTTGAAAATCTAATAATTTTGTTCACCAGGGTATGAATTACATTGCGGCATTACTCCTATTGATAATAGATGATGAAGAATCCGTATTCTGGTTGATGGTCACGCTATTGGAAGACATTCTTCCGCCTGATTACTATACAAACTCTTTGGTCGGAATAAGAACTGACATGGAAGTATTAGGAGATCTCGTGAAGTAAGTCATAGTGGAATTTGTTTCAGCATTAGGAATACGCTGACGCTGCACTTTTGATTACCCTGCGTTCATTTATATAGAAATATACCATATTCCATCTTGTTGGGTTTTCTCTACCGTGGGATAAATATCAAAATTCTATGTTATCTGTGTATATTTATTTGCTTATCCTTCTAATTATATTTGTCTGTGGAAGTCTGATACCGTTGTGCCCAAGGGTGTAATTTGATAGAGAACTACAGTAATCCTGAACTTCTGTACAGAACTTCTGTATTTCTGAATACCTAAAAAGCAGTCTAAATATTTATTTTCAAATGAATTTTAAAAAACTTCGAATATCCATCTTCAGGGAAAGAAACCCAGCAGTATCATCTTGTTTTGAGCGAGAATCGATCGACTGGGTTCTGATTTCATCTAAATGGTTTATATGTTTGTACGCTGACATCTTGCCTACTGAGGTAGGTTTACTAATAAGCTTGTACCAATATAGCCAAGAAATGGATGTCTGGGGTCAGAGTTCGCTAAACATCTTATTGATTATTTGAGCCGATATCCTTCGGGGTGGTCCAAGGTTGTGGGCTCCACGGGCCACAAAAATGTTTTGGAATTGGTCGCGGGCCACAATAGTACCAAGAATAGGTAAATAGTGCAATACAAACTAGGCACTTCCATTGTGTAAACACATAGTTATCAGGGCATTGCCAACCTAGGCTAGTGGAATCCGCATTCGATTTTTAGTTTTCTACGAAAATCAAAAACATCCAATTATGAAAAATATGACATAAGATACTGTGGTTTTAGGGTGCCAATGTCCGGCCGAGGCTGTAGTCAGAGTATACATATTATTGATATCTGAGCAGAAGTACCTGTTGAATAAGGCCTGATTTGGAATATGTCAGAAATTTTTTTCTTTGAAATATATTTGTAATTGTCGATTTATTTGGCTAAGCCTGCTTTTTCTGTACTAGCATCAGTAGCATGCCACTGTGCCGAATTGCCTTTGAATTTAAACATTGTAATGAGCCATTATTGTGTTTTGTCTTTGGACACTGATACGACAAGCTTTCTATTTCCCCCAATACTAATTTTAATCCCTAGGCAACCGTCTTTACGCTTGAGTGATTATTCTAATATTAATCTCCTTAGGGATTAAATGTAGGGTAACCAATGGCTATTCCTTTCATAATTAAGTTGGAATCAATAATTGTTTATGTATTATTACAACTGGTATAGTAAGCATGAATATATATATATACGGGGTGTCTCAACCGAAATAAATGAAACCATTTAATTCAATTACCAATTTTGTTGGTTTCATTAATTTTGGGACACCCTGTTTATATTTGTTCCAATCTTTATATATTATTAGGCTTTACGATGGCCTAGCGCTTAAAGCTTCAGACTTAACTTTGTTGTCATCTCTGATTACACATCTCTGATTCAAATTTCTAATAAAAGCAATTTCAAATATTTTATTCATTTTAGAATAATAATATGTCCAGAATTTGTATAAACTTAAATTTCTAGAATCTGCAGTGAAGTCATCTCTGAAAACAAATAATCAATATAATTGAATATGGTTGAAGTGTCAGACTGCATGTTACACATTCCGGGTTATCTTACAGCCTAGACTCCTAGAGTGCAATAAATTGGGCTAGCAAATGAACAATACCTAACCAGGAATATTCATAATTAATAGCAGCTTCATACATATTGTTAAATGTATGAATATTTAAATGCAGCTGTAGATCTTTGATTTCATGAATAAAGTAACAAAAATTGTTTAATTTTGTGTTGAAGACATGCATTCATTTTCAGACTGTGCTTCGGATCTGGGATTGCTTATTCACGGAAGGTTCAAAGATATTATTTAGAGTTGCATTGCAGCTCATTAGTATCAGAGCAGACAAAGTAAAGCTTGCTGATGACATGCCTGGCATCATTGAAGCCTTTCGTGACTTCAATAAAGATGATGCCGCACTTGAATGCCATGCCTTCATGCAGGTTGGTGGTTACTGTATGTGACATATTTTTAATACGACAAAATTAGGATGCCATTGGTGTATTCCAACTAGGGCGTTGGTTTCGACATGACATGCCTGGCATCATTGAAGCATTCCGTGACTTCAATAAAGATGATGCCGCACTTGAATGCCATGCCTTCATGCAGGTTGGTGGTTACTGTATGTGACATATTTTTAATACGACAAAATTAGGATGCCATTGGTGTATTCCAACTAGGGCGTTGGTTTCGAATCAATTTACAATTGACTCCGACTATGGGTTAGTTAAAATGTGGCACAAATCGGGATCTTGTTTCAGAGTTATACTCTCCAGGGTAGAGAACTCCGAGTAGGTAATACCGTACAGCAGGGGTGTGCAAACTGGAGAAGTGCCAACTTTGAATTATGTGTGCCTGTTTTAGTTCAGTTAATCTGTTACTTGCGAGAAATTCCAATATCTTGCATCACAAAACCTATACCAGTACTTGAGTGCCACTGTTATATTAGCAGAACTAGCTAGCAAAATACACGATGTTATAAAAACAAAGTCTTTACAAATTTTTGCGTTTTACCTCACCATTTCTGCAAGGACCCTTAACAATGCTGTAAGAGGCTTGTCTATATCCTTGGTTGAATCGAAAATGCTAAACAACCATGGTTCTGTTACAGCGGTCATCTTACCGGTCCTATACTTCCCATCTCTTGGTCCTACCCTTTAATTACATCACATCCAGCAGGTGTCAGCAGTCATCTTACGTGTCACATGGCAAACTCTGGTAAGGGGTCAAAGGTCACCTTACCCGTCGCATGGTAAACTCTGGTAAAAGGTCAGAGGTCGCCTTACTCTTCACATGGCAAACTCTGCTAAAAGGTCAGAGGTCGCCTTACCTGTTGCATGCCAAACTCTGGTAGTGGGTCAGAGGTCGCTTTACCCATCGCATGCCAAACTCTGGTAATGGGTTGACAAACTTTAGTAAAAGGTCAGAGGTCATCTTACCTGTCGCTTGCCAAACTTTAGTGAAATGTCAGAGGTCACCTTACCCGTCGCATGCCAAACTTTGGTTAAAGGTCTTACTGGTCCCATACCAAACTCATTCATCTATGTTTCAGGATTGCTTTGTTGAAAAAACTCCACTTCGTATGTCTCAGATCAAGAAATTGAGAAAAATTCACGAAAATAAATTGAAAAATGATGATAAAGAAGTAGAAGCAAGGAGAAACAAAAAGCAATAATCGTTCGAATATTTTATAAATGATTTTTTTTTTACTTTTTGCTCAATTACAAATCTGTGAAATAATTAAAATTTATTTTGAATTTTAATCACAAAAAGCTCAAATTATTAGAAATATTGGAAAATTAAAAAGCCCAAAATCTTTAGAATTTATATGTCGTGCTATGCCATAATTACATTGAACAGGAATACTGTTTGTTAATCAGTACCAGTATTGAGTGATGAACATCCAGTGGTAATCAATATGAACGCCAATCATCACTAAACTGGAAATATTATTTTTGATTTTTTTACTCATGTTCTGATCGGCCTGGTATATATAAATCGAAGGAAACTTATGGATTGCTTGTCATAGCCTACAAGCAATTCCAATGACTGTCAAACTTTCATGGTCCATGGCTTCTCCGAAGAACTCACAACCTTTTTTTCCATGACCAGCAATGTCCAACATCACTATTTTAGTGATTTATTCCTCACGCTTTTCCTCTCCGAACGCGGCCCTGTACAAGCAGTAAGGGGTTACTATTATTCGGTGAAATGCCCCCATCTCACCAATAGTGTGATAGATTTAGAGGCAATGCAGAACCGGAAATATTCCTTGTTATATGTCATCACAATACAATCTTTTTTTGAAGCGAAATGCGTGAATAAACGTAGTAGAAAAATACTTGACAAACGCCTCCTGCCATGTCCAGCATACAAATCATGACAATCCTACGGACATTGTTAAGGTTAAACACTTTTATCTTGAAATGGTTTTCTAGATTTTTAATTTTGTAGGTATCAAACATGGCGTTGTGATCATTTCTGCCATTTTTTCAACTATATTTGGGATATTGCTAAAATTTATGTTATTTGGCGTGGGGATTGGTAATTTAGAATTAAGTGATTACTTCAAATTTAGAAAAAAAATAAATGATCTTAGGTGCTCCGGGAGTATGTGTACCAAGATAGCCCACATCCTGAACATAGAATGTGTATTAGGTTGTAGTTCAGGTTGTGCGCTATCTTGGTGCACATTTTTCTGGAGCGCCCTGGATTGTCTGTACCTACTATGATGCCAGATTTTTGAACCTTTGTATGCATATCTTTGGTAAAATGAATTCAATATTCCCTATCTTCCAGCTGTCTCATTTTCCCAATTTGTAAATTGAGGAATCTTTTTTCTTGAAATATTTTAATTTGAGCACAAACCTACTTCTTCAACATATATCTCTTTATAACATAAAACCTTTATTTCTGTAACGTGTATCTACATTTGATTTTTTTTTATTTTTATATCTGTTGTATTTTTAAAATATTTACTGATATCCCAAATGAATGTAATTTTTCATATCCCCAGATCCCCACTCGACTGTTTAAGCTTTTTCAATTTCTAAATTGAGAAATCTTTTTTTTTTCAAATATTTTGGTTTTACATCGTACCAATCTTCTTCAACATATATTTCTTTATAACGTTAAACCTTCATTTCTGTAACATGATTCTTCACATTTTTATAATCAGCTGTATTTTGAAATGGTTCGTGAAACGTGGAAATAACCTATATTTCAGTGCTCCCGAAGTATGCGAACCAAGATGGTGGACATCGGAACGAAACATGGGTAACAGGTTAGGGTTAGGCGATAATTTTGTTCCCATTTTCCTTATTTTAGTCCTATTATCAGTTCGAAGACTAGCCAAGAGCCTCCCGTAGTATTTATACCTAGAATTATGGCCTAACCCTAACCTAGTACACATATTACATTCCGATGTCCGCCATTTTGGTTCGCATACTTCGGGAGCCCCTATATTTCTGTAACACTTTCTTTAAATTTTTTTTGTATTTTATAATCAGCTGTATTTTTGAATCATTTAAAGATATCCAAAAATAAACGTAATATTCCATAACCCCAACCCAACTATTTAAGCTTTTTTTCAATTTCTGACTTGAGAAATCTTTTTTCCTCAAATAATTTCAATTCAAACCCAATTCTTCAACATAGGTTCATTTCTGTAACATGATTCTTAATTCTTTTTGTTTTATAATCACCTGTATTTTTAGAATACTGTCTCTGGACATGTTAATCAATTGATAATTTTATTATAACGATAATTATATTATGAAGAGATTTTATGAACACCTTACAAAAAGTTCAATTCCTTTGTGGTTGTGTGCAATATAACTTTGTGGTGCTACGTGAACAAACTGTTGAACTATTAACAAGATTCGGGATTTGCAAGACGAGAAAAGGGTGAATGTTGAAAATGTATTGAAAAATTTATCCCAAAACTTTTGGTGCTTGTTAAGCCGGTGACTATTCAAAATTTGAAGCCGTATTCACCAAACTATTGAAAAAAAAATTCTCGTTTAACCGAACAGATTTTTGTCAAATTCTTTTTATTCTGTATTTTAATGAAAAATATTATATTTTTTGCTGCAACTATTAATTGCAAAATTTTTACTCGTTAATTTGCAATATCTATCTGACTTTTGAATATTTTTTGCAATGAATTTTTTGTTAAATATCCACTGCTGGGTTTCCGTTATTTTTTTGCATTTCGATTTCAAAATAAATTGGTGCAAATACGATGGATATTATTGTTGTGTTTATTTTGAATGATTGAACCAGTTTAACATACATTAGGCTCTAGCAGTTTAGCTTTGATTGTATGTAATGCAATAGGAATAAATAACCAATTAGACCCAGGTATATAACCTTGCAGCGCAAAGAGATTGTAATTAGACAGCATTCAAAATTCTCACTTCTCCATGGGCCACATAATTTTTCCTTGTGTGTTGCATTTAGCATTTTCCACTTTACTAGTCCAAGAGGTGTACAACCAAATCAACACCTTCTTTATGGAAATTTTCTTCAAGCTGGGTTCCACAAACTTACTCAGAAGTAAATAGACTTGTCACTGAGCTTTGAATACTGTCAGAATAATAACTCCTGCCCGGGGCGGATGGCAATCGAGCAATCATGGTGGAGTTCAAATAGAATATTATTATCCCGGAGAGAGAGAAGGAAGGCAATAAGACGGCTTAACCATATTGGCAACCACGGACTCTTCTTGTCCGGTTACCAGTCTATGTCGTCGATTTGGGATAAGTTAGCCAGTTATTTGTTTTCAGAAACATAGGCTGGATGGTGGAGGACATGTACTAACTTACAACGGCGAAGAGTCCAGCAATCCTCTAGCACATAATTTGTTCTCACAGGATTGAAATCGCCAACAATATTTCCTATTCATCGACGTTATTTCCTGTCCATCTCGAATTTATTTTTGACCTTAACCGTGCTCCCACTACTATCAAACTAATGCCTGGTGTTCTCATATTAATATATTGCAATTATATTATAATTAAAAGCAAGTAAAAGTAAGACTGGAAAACACCATTTAAGTTTATATTAGGATAGCCCGTGAGAGATAAAAGATGATTTTTAGACATTGCAAATCACAAAAAACGTTCTACAGCTACTGACGGGGCCTGACCGACTATGATATATGTATAATAATCAATGTAAAGTATATTTAATTCATTTTTTGAAATAAATTTCACTCTGTAGGATAATATCGCTGACTTAAGGCTTATTTTTACGGTGATATCCGCAAAATAATGAGTGACAGCATTGCAATGGAGCGGAATAAGTGTAGCACCAACAGCTAAGATATGTTTTTGATTTGCAAAAACTATATTGACGCAAATTTTATTTTTCGAAACAGCATATTTTCGTTTTTTTTAATTTAATTAATTTTACCAGTTCAGTGAGGAATCACTGTTCTAGACAATCCCATACAGAAATATCTAACCTCGCATTTTCTTCCCAAGAGTTGAATTAGTAGCAAACTGTTAGGAATGTCATCGATGCTCTTATAGAAGATTGTTCGACATATCGGACAAACTAAACTGAGAAAAAAAGCTGTAACATGACTTTGCTTTAACATGAAGAAAGAGTAAAAATTTGGGTATATGTTTAGTATCTCAATAAATCTGGTGTAGCTTCAGTCAGTAGCTATTGTCATTTTAGCGATTGCTCATAATTTCGGTCAGAGAGGAAGAGTCATTTTCACTTCCAAGTAAGAGTGCTCCCGAATTATTCATATCAAGATGGCGCACAACCTGAACTTGTATGTGTACCAGGTTAGGGTTGTTCAGGTTGTACGTAATCTTGGTACGAATACTTCCAGGGGAAAGGAAAGTCGATAAGACGGCTTAGTCCTATGGACCACGGCCTTTCGTTCGGTTACCAGTCCAGGTCGGGTATGAAATTAGTTAGTTACTTGTTTAGAGATGCATGAATTGATGGTGGAGGAAGCCAAACCGACCAGCAGTTACGTGAACCAACGTACGACAATGAGGAGTCCGTTTAGCAATAATCAACCCCGCATTGGATTCAACCTGCGAACCCTTGCAGGGTAATCAGCGATGACAAGCGTATTCCTAACGCTGAATCAATGTTTGACAAAAGTTAAAAAGAACACAGTGAATGATTAAACAGTGATCATTTAAAGAAGTAACACAGTCACATATACACATACGGTAGAACATACAATGTCACACATAATTAGGAAAGAATAAGGTACGGTAATTTCTAATTAGCTTTACACAATGCAGCAGAGCGACAAACAATTAATGCACATGGAAAGAGTTTATAAAAAAGGCAGCAAAATTCGGGGTGATATATTAGGGTTCCATGAGACTTTGAATAAATAAGAGCAATAGACCTATGGCGACTAGCTGACTACTTCCATCCTACTGATACTCGTAATTTTAATTACATCCACTGAGAAATTTTAATTGCATTTTTAGATTTAAATTTGATATGTTCAAGAGAAAGGGGATTTCTTGCCAACAACAATTTCACTTCGTGCCCATTTTTACAAAATTTAGTCAAGCGTGCCTGATTTAGAAATATCACAAGAATATAACATCAAGGAAATCAATTTTTATAAGCACTACACCTCGCATAAATGAAAGAAGAACACATTCTGACCTCTCTTTGATTAACTACATAGTCTAGGTATCATGGTCAAAAAGATGAGAGAGATATGCTCAAATATATGGACACGTACGGTCACATAATTTTGATGACGTCATAGCGAAAAAAAAAAGTAATAGCCTTCTGGAGAAAATTTTTATCTTTAACCACTGAAAATTTCAAAGCAATTGGTCCAGTATTCGAAGAGAAAAGCGACTTTTTAAAAACGTGTCAAAGAACAACAACAACAACATAATATTGAAACGATCGTTATGTCCACTACGTGTCCAATAATTGAAACGAAAATGAATATGCAACAAACACACCAAAGGAAATGAACAGCAGCGAAGAGTCCAGTAACTGACACAAATGAGCTGTACTATCTATGCAAAGTGAGATTATTTCCATTTTTGAAGGTGCTCCCAAAGTATGTGCACCAAGCTGGTGCACAACCTGAACATAGTATGTGTACCAGGTTTGGGTTCAGGTTGTGCGTCATCTTGGTTCATATACTACCGGAGCCTCTTTTTTAAATAGTTGAAAGCATGCATAGGATAACACTAGTTATCCTTTTAAATATCCCCGCAATCAAAGATAAAGTCAGAATGCCAGTAAGTGCACAAAACATCTCCAATCATCAATCTGATTAAAGCTAACCCGAAAGCCAAAAGAACGAAGTCGGCAAGTAGAGACATAAACACCTCACAAAGCATAATGCAGAATTTGAACAAAATTGCCACACATTTGATCAACAACATCATTAAATTGTACGGGATGCGGATTAACTCCAGTATGAAAAGATAAAAATAATCAAATAAATTAAATCTCCCCAAAAACCAACAGCAGATTTGGGTCAGAATGAACTCCAGAAAAGTTGGACTATATTTTTTATTGATGGTTTGTTTTTCTAGATTTAATTTTTGATTTTTTAAAAAATAATATTTATTTAGTAAAAAATATATAAAATAAACTGTAATTATAAAACATAGTACTTTCACAAATATAAGAAAATATTTAATAATAAAAGCAGCGACTTGGTTTGAGTGATTTCTGTTTTGGACTGGAATTGCATGCTGTGTAGTAACCCTAGACTGGGGGTTATTCGCTGGGTTTGCTACTTCAGTTGATCTCTGTGCTGGCACTCTTCTTCTTGCCTGATTGCTAGCATATGACTGTGAGAAAATAACAATGGTGTAATGCGAGTTTCATATTTCATACGTGGAGAGGAAAGTTGATAAGATGGCATATCCACACAACTTGCCACCAGTTGATAAGATACGTTCCCCAACGCACTTCTGATTATCCTGCGTGAAGAGCTATTACCGATGCACGTGGGATCGCAATTCGTGAAAATCGTCAATTGTTTTTGTCAGTGAGATGTCCTATTTAGGCCGTAAGCATCATTTCACTCTCTAATTCACAAATTTTTCTTAACATAGGCTTTGTGTCGCGAGGACGACCATAATTATTTTTTCGTTCTCAAACAACCATGGACGGATCACATAATCATGTGTGACGAGATGCTAAGATAAATAAAGAAGTGAATACGTGATCCAAAATTTCTTGATTGAAAAGCGGCAAAGTGAAAAAATACTAAAATACCAAAGATAAAACGGAAAACACCATTTAAGTTTATATTAGGATAGCCCGTGAGAGATTAAAGATGATTTTTAGACATTGCAAATCACAAAAAACGTTCTACAGCTACTGACGGGGCCTGACCGACTATGATATATGTATAATAATTAATGTAAAGTATATTTAATTCATTTTTTGAAATAAATTTCACTCTGTAAGATATTATCACTGACTTAAGGCTTATTTTTACGGTGATATCCGCAAAATAATGAGTGACGGCATTGCAATGGAGCGGAATAAGTGTAGCACCAACAGCTAAGATATGTTTTTGATTTGCAAAAACTATATTGACGCAAATTTTATTTTTCGAAACATCATATTTCCGTTTTATTCAATTTAATTATTTTTACCAGTTCAGTGGGTAATCACTGTTCTAGACAATCCCATACAAAAATATCTAACCTCGCATTTTCTTCCCAAGAGTTGAATGAGTAGCAAACTGTTAGGAATGTCATTGATGCTCTTATAGAAGATTGTTCGACATATCGGACAAACTAAACTGAGAAAAAAAGCTGTAACATGACTTTGCTTTAACATGAAGAAAGAGTAAAAATTTGGGTATATGTTTAGTATCTCAATAAATTTCAAGTTTGAAATTCTAAACCAAGGCTTCTCAAACTGGGGCCCTGACCCCCTTTCGAGTGGTCACACAGCTGTCCTTATCAAATGTCATTAATAATGAACACCATTCCCCTCAAATATATCAATTTTTGTCAAATTAATTATGATTTTTTTTTGTATTTGACTGTAATGCATTCCTTTCTTTGACTTTTATTCGTTGGTTTTTCAGTATTAAACATAGCATATAAAATAACTGGAATTCTATTGAAGATATTCAAAAAGGGCACAATCATGGAAGTTGGAGACAGCTGTCCTAAACTAAGAGTTTTCAGATGGACACCCAGTAGCGCAGCCAGGGGGGTTTTTGGGGTCGAAACCGCCCCCTTTGAATTTTTTCGAAAACTGAATAAGTCGCCAATAACGCATGCAATTGTATTTTGCTAGATTCGTCGATTGTTTTTATCAGCGTGACGTTTTACATACCAATTTACATTGGTGTTTATTCTCTCTAAATTGCAAATTTTTCAAATTTATGCCACGATAACGATGATAATTGGACACGTAGTGGACATAACAATCGTTTCAATATTATGTTGTTGTTGTTGTTCTTGTTCTTTGACACGTTTTTAAAAAGTCGCTTTTCTCTTCGAATACTGGACCAACCATTACTTTTTTTTCGCTATGACGTCATCAAAATTATTGCCATTGGGTGGCGCTACGTGTCCATATATTTGAGCATAGCTCTCTTGTTTTATATATTTTTGTACTCGCACATAATTGTGTATCTGACTAGATGTATTATACGTTCATCGGCGGCGAGGTTCTAAACTTTCTAAAGACAAATGAAGGAATGAATCCGTGGTGCAAATTTTTTGATTGAAAAGCGGCAATATAAAATACTGAAAATAAAACCGTAAACAATAATAAATTTTGTTGAGGCCCGCAACAGTCTAAAAATGCTTTTCTACGGACTGAGAATGGCAAAAATTCGTGTGCCTACGGCTAAGCATGTTTTGCCGGCGTTTAGAAACATATGTCACTAAAATCGAATAACGGTCATTTGTGAGCGAGATTTACCTTTTTATCCATATCTTAAATTGTCGTCGAGGATTTTATTGTTAACATTATACAAGGTTGAGAACGCGACTTTCTCCCGGGTTGTGATGATATATATATAAGATAAACATTTTTATTTTTACGTCCGGGTATTGCCGTGGTAGGCTATATCAGAATGGTGATGCTTTTATTTTGTCGACGCAACCTCAAGTTAAATTAAAGACCATTAAATTAATAGAGAAAGTCATTTTCAATTTTCCCGTATCGGTCATGGATAAATTACTTTGCACAACAAAAAATTCATTATTCGATGAAAAAGAAGGCCCTTTCAACAAGTGGCGTAATGGCGGCGACTTTTCCGCGTGGAGTTCGAGCGATGAATATGTATTTTAATTTACTGATGTACTTTACTTGTATTTTCATTTTATAAAATAAAATTGAGATTTTTTTTAACGACGATACGTTATCAGTTTATCACATATTTGTAAGCCCAGAGATCGCCGTGGTATTTTGGGAAAGTAACGTTTTTATTTTGATATGAGAAGACGCAACCGTAAGTTACGTTGGACACACTTAATTATTATATAAGGACGCTTTAGAATCTCGTAGTTATAGATTGAATATTTCATGCGATAGAAAAATCAGTATACGCTGATTAGGCGGCTCTTTTAACGAGCGCGTAATCGCGGTGACTGTTACAGACAACAATGGGAATTTTCGATTTTGAAACCTCCCCCTCCAACTTTTGAAAAACCTGGCTGTGCACCTGTGAACATCCCTTCCGACCCGCGAATATCCTTCCACTTCTAATATTCTCTGGCTTCTCCCCCAGCCAATCAACTCTGGGAACCACTGCCCTATATTATCGCATAATAGCTGAAGCCATTCACACCCAAAAATCATGAAAATATTACTTCAATACCTACTTTTCTCCATCAGCAATATTTTCGATACAATCCAAGCAAAATACATGTTGGCAAGGAAGCATCTTTGGTGTCCTGGGACCAGATGCCTCGTAAGGATTTATACAGATTGTACATTCCAACAACTCTTCCACTGCTTCCTGTGCTTGGACTAAATTCATTATCAAAGTCTTGTGGATAACAGTTAATAAAACTGTGAAAAGAAAGAAAAACAAATGTTAACAAAGCAAAAAGATGTGACTAGGGGATAAACATAGGCAAGGTGGTCTTCTTGTAGTTGGATAGGATTTACATACTTATAGAATGCTTAATCATATGGCGAACTACAGCCTCATGCCCGGTTACCAGTCCATGTCGATTATGGTATTCGTCAGCCAGTTTTCAGGGGCACCCTACGGTGGCAAGGAGTCCAGCCATCCTCTCGCACATAATTAAACCCTACAGCAGGGGTCGGCAACCTACGGCCCGCAGTCTGGATCCGGCCCGCGGAGTAATATATTCCGGCCCACGACACGTCACTGAATTATAGTAACAAAACAGCTGTTTTGACGATTATATTCTTTACGTAACAAAATTTGTTGTGAGACACGTGTGGACTAAATTATATTATAAACTAGTGAGTATATAATTCAAAATTACTTGTTTAATTAGCTTATAATTTAATTATGTGCGGCCCGTCAATGCAACCTTCAATTGGCCCGCGAGCGTCAAAAGGTTGCTGACCCCTGCCCTACAGGATTCAAACAAAGGAAGAGTAAACTGGTAATAGGACGTGAGGCCCACGGTTCCTCATATGATTAAGCCGTCCTAACGGCTTTCCTTTCCTACAGGATAAATATGTAAAACTTATCTTGTCCAAATATAAAAATTCTATCCTAAAACCACCAAGCATCAGCTCACTTTCTCAATAAATATGTAACGAAAAAATCGTGAATAAGTGGAACTTTTCTGCATTCAAGAAGATACAAGATTTTAATTTCTTGTATCTTAATTTCGACACTATAAGCTACCTACCGCTTACCTTTACGCCAAGAAGATATTCGATGAGCACTACAAAATCCATAAAATTTTGTGACGAGTGAGGACGACTGTCCAGACTTTACGACTGAAGAAAAGAAGACTGCAATCGACAACATAGGTCGTAAATACAGGTGCGACCAAAATCCATGTTTGCACTCTACGCAGACAACAGTGCGAGGCACGAACTCGCAAATATTTAATCTTCGATACAGTTTGTCAACGACCTCGTCTTTGCGATGGAAGATGCAAAAGCAAACGCTATTGAAACTCTTATTACGGCCACCGCGCTCAAAAATTACGGCACCGTCCGCCCGTACCGTTGTCACGAGTACATAAGGTTCCATTATCTTTGAACCCGCGTACATTTGAACCCGTACATCTGAACCCGTAATTTGAACCCCGAACAATCGCACCTGTATACTATTGCACCTATGGACATTTGCACCTACGGACATTTGAACCCATACATTTCCACCCATGGATTTTAGCACCCGCATATAGATTGAACCCGCGTACATTTGAACCCATGTACATTTGCACCCGCGGACATTTGAACCCGTGTACGTTTGCACCCGCGTACATTTAAACCCATGTACATTTGCACCTGCAGACATTTGAACCCATGTACATTTGCACCCTGGACATTTGCACCCATGTACATTTGAACCCACGAACATTTGCACCCGCGGACATTTGAACCCATGTATATTTCCACCCACAGACATTTGAACCCACGTATATTTGAACCCGCGTACATTTGAACCCACGGACATTTGAACCCGCGTATATTTCAACCAACGTATATTATATTTGAACTCGCGTACATTTGAACCCGCGTACATTTGAACCCACGTACATTTTCACAAAAAATGTTTGCTCCAACGGCAATTTCCAGTCGCAAATAATTTTCATGTTATAGGCGCAAGCTCAATATTCTAAATTTCAACACTGTTTCCCTTGTAGTTAGTTTTGGTGTATATGCATTTACCCGCTTCTACGAAGCAAGCATTTTTGAGTGTCATTGTAGTCCGGGGAATAAACGTCTCTTAACGATATAAACAACATTGTTCTGCCAAGGTCTTTTTTCTTTTGCTGTTTTTTTAACATTGACATTTGTAAATCCTTATCTCATTCGTTAGCGGCGATCTCCAAAACAGACGATGACCTAGAAAGCGGTACTTCTTTGGAATACCTGAAACCAGGGCTAATACGGAACAAATATCTCACAGACCAATGAAGTCTTAAATGAGGGTCTTACTAAAACTAGCTTTACAGTAACATTTTTAGTGGTCAACTCCTATAAATTTGTTCTGAAATTATTGCACCGAAAACGCCTACTATGATATCCCGCCCAGCATGAGATTTGGGAGCTCTGTGGCCACTTCATGTTTTCTTGCTAGCATGTTTACAAAATTGTTATATGTATGCATACACGACCACGCTTTACTGTTGAAAATGAGTGTTGTCTCAAATCAGGTTTTGCCATTTTTCCTAAAATCAATCTATAAATTGAATACTATTGTCTGTATATAAATAAATAAACGCACAGATTCTTCGTTTCTAAGAAAATATGAAATTAAGATAATGAAACTATGCCATTTTTGTAACAACATGTTCATAGCCAAATGCCAGTTTTATTGAAGTATTGTTTCATTAGAATGTCAGAACAAAACCATACATAGAAATCGTAAGTCATGTAAATATGTTGAATATTCGAAAGTGAAGAAGTTTTAAAATCATTATCGTGGCCAAAAATGGTTTTTGCTGTTTACACTATTTAGAATAAATCGAACATATTCAGCATATCAGGTCAGGTCTGTTAAATATGATATTGCAATTTACAAACGACGTCATAGGTTACGGATTACATTTATTTTAATATATCAATAAAGTTATCACTCACAAATTTGTGTCGAATGGGCGATCAATTTTGAGATAGAGTAGCTATTGACGTTTTACAAATAGGAATTTATCAATTATGATACAATAGTTAAACAACAAATCAAAATAATGACGATAAACGAAATTTTACGATATCACGATCAAAGTCAAAATCAAATAGACTGCATTTGAGCTATTGAGTGGAGATACCTAAGGCTTGTCGGTTTCAGTTCCACATGAAAAAACTTTAACTGACAACCTAACAGCAAGTTGTACATACTTTGATCTTTGGTGGGCCGTAATTCCTACATGAGCATTTGCCGCAGTCAGTTTGTGGACCGCAATGTCTTTTCGTAGGCCATTCAGCAAACCCCATATACTCGGATGTTTGCATCGGAACATTCCTTGTAAGGCGTTGTGAAATCCTTCTACAGCGTTTGTTGTTCTTGGGGCATGATTTCAATCTCTTTGGCATAGTTCCACAATCGAGGGGGAAATCTTGCTTCTCTTGGACGTGAACCCATTTGAGGTCCACGAATGTAGGTAGATTCAAAATATTGCAAAAGTTGATTGCATTCTGGCGCATCGTCGAAGGTGTCGCAAAGCAAGGTGAAGACTTCGGCAACCTCGTTAATGGGAAGCCAGAGCTGCCAAACTTCTAATTTTCAGATTGGAAGAGGGTAAACATTCAAACTTCTTTTTTAATCCGATAGAACCAACATTTCGAATTATAGCTTGTGACAGGTGAAAATAACATCCTTTAATATCGGCCAGAGGAAATTGTGCATGGAATGCATTGATAGCTGCTATTTCAAAATCAACAATGATTTTGGTGGGGTTAGCATTTGGGAAAATGATTTTCAACACTTCCAACATCTGAACGTATGTTTCTTGTCGCTTGTCTCGTAATAGAAAATATACGCATGGTAGATAGGATGCTCCCACTTTACAGTGAATTGTATACAACTGGAAGAAAATATCGGGCACCACATCAAATGTACCGTCGTCAAGATATGTGTCACTATCTAGATGTGCAAGTAGTGATCGATCTCCAATGGCCATTATCCGATGACGATCCTCCGGGCCAGTGTCATGCAAAATGATATCTAAATATTGGCTCGGAATATCAAAGCTTGCACTTGTAGGATTCGTACGTGAACAATTTTTCTGTCGCCTTACTCTGCATATATCGGCCTCCAGAGTCGACTTGCCTGGCAAGCGCATTAGTACATCTGTTGATCTATTATTCAATACTTCACCTAAAATATATCTTGTCGATGTATTTGATGGTGTTGATGCTGCTTCTTTTAATGTTGCACGGATGATCCCAACTTCAGTCTTAATGCTGTCGCCAGAACGACTGTGATATCCTAGTTCTTTTATTACATTTTCACCGATCGTAACAACAGTCGATTTACATCGAAATTTCCTAAACTGACGGCATCGCCAATGAGTAGCATCTGAAACCCAATCATTTCGCTTACAATATTCGTGGACTTTGTAAATCAGTAAGTCGTTTCCTCTTGTGGTCTTGGAAAATGTAGGCGCCATGTTTCCAACTTATTTTCGCAAAGGGACTTGTCATCTTCGCAGCTGCAACGTCCTGAAGAAACAGTTTGGAATTGTCTGCGAGGGAAAAAGGTCATTGATGCAAGGAAAAAAATTTCGCGGGATCGAACTATCTGCGAGGGAAAAAGGGCATTGATGCGAGGAAAAACATTGCGCGGGATCGAACTAACACATCAATTAAAATTCTTGATCGCGCTCTTCAAGAGTCGTCGACCATTCAAAGCACAAATCATACTCCCCAATTTTGGCTCGCATTCTACAGCGGAACATTTTGTTCATTGAGTCTTATGATATCGACAATTGCGATGACAATGACAGACGGAGTATAATATAAATATATAATATAATTTAAATATATAGAAAATAGTTGTAATAAAGCCTTCGAGTATATAATCGAGAATTCCATGGTGTTTTCGCAACGTATGCATTTGGAGAAAGAATCCTAAGTGTACCTTCCAATCCTATATACTATAGTATATAGCAGGGCTACTCAACTATTTTTGCTAAAGGTCCATATACAAAACTTGAAAATTCCTGGGGTCCGGTCTGGCCAAAAAATGTACTTCATACTGCGCCCAACAATATTTTAGTGACTCGATCTTTTCGGTTACAAAGTCAAGGAAAAGCGAGTTGTGGAAAACTGAGTAACCGCGAAATATTCCACATCCTTATACATATCCAAAATTAGGTGGAGACAATCTTCCGGAATAAAAATATCATACGCGGTCGGAATCGAATACTTGGAAAGTCCGGATTCGGACCGCGGTTCGCCAGTTGAGTAGCCCTGGTATATAGCATGGAAGGATAAGGGTGTATATGTAAAGACGCTAATATTCTAAATGCAAATGCCCATGGGCGTAGATGTTCATGGGTGCGAATGTCTGTGGGTACAATTGTACGCGGGTGTAAAAGTACGCTGGTGTAAATGTATGTAGGTTCAAATGTACGCGGGTTCAAATGTACGTGGGTTCAAATGTCCGCGGGTGCAAATGTTCGTGGGTTCAAATGTACATGGGTTCAAATGTCCGCGGGTGCAAATGTACATGGGTTCAAATGTACGCGGGTGCAAACGTACACGGGTTCAAATGTCCGCGGGTGCAAATGTACATGGGTTCAAATGTACGCGGGTGCAAACGTACACGGGTTCAAATGTCCGCGGGTTCAATCTATATGCGGGTGCTAAAATCCATGGGTGGAAATGTATGGGTTCAAATGTCCGTAGGTGCAAATGTCCATAGGTGCAATAGTATACAGGTGCAATTGTCCTGGGTTCAAATTACGGGTTCAGATGTACGGGTTCAAATGTACGTAGGTTCAAATGTGCTGTCACCGTACATAAGGATAGTTACTGCGTATTTTTAATATTCTTCGCCATGTATTGTTAACAGTGCATGTTATTTGCCTGAAACAAGGTAGTTTGTGCGCTCATTGGCTTCTGAGGAGTTGAGATAGCAGTTATGCTCAATTAAACGTGTGTCAACCCAATAACACGTCATTCCTTCCCTATACCATAATGCAGAGTTTTCCAAACTGGGTTCCGCGTACCTATGGGTTTGAATAAACCTTTTTGGTGAAACTTGCGGACGATAATCTATTTCTGCCAGAACGGGCAATAAAAAAAAACCTACATGTGTGATGCAGCATTTTCCTCTCTCCCGAGTTTGTTGACATAATACAGGTCGAGATTTGCCGCAGAGCCGGACCTTCCGAGTTTGCTTGTCACAAATTGCTCCGAAAATAGATAAATTGTGCAGTGAAAAGCAACCTAATCCATCGCATTGATGTCGTTTGTTGTGTAAATAAAACATTATTCTTCCTCGTTGCTAGGTACAGGAAATGATACGGCACAGAAAGGGGTTCGTCAAAAATAAAATT